GGGAGGGCGGGGGCCCGGAACGAGTCAGGACGGACTGGGAGCAAAACGACAAGAGTGCTCCGCCACCGGGAAGGGGAGAGGAGAGCACGCATGCATGCATAGATACACTCGTTGACGCCTCGTTGACGCCTGGCAGGGGGCAGCGCGTCATGTACCGAAACACGGGTCTCTGCGCGGATTATTACAGTATCCCAGCCAGAAAACTCTTGTAGAAACAAAAAAAAAAAAAACCAACAGAAAAAAAGACGCCCTACTACATACTGTACCTTGCGTATCTTTGAAACAAACATCGCTACTAAGTGCATCATGAACGGTACATGAATCGCCGTCCATGCGTGATCGTAGAACTAATCATGACGAGCGTCAAGCGATCCGTCGTCCACACCAGGCAGAACCGCGTATCGTCTTCTTGTGTAAGCGTTAAATGCACTAACGAGAGTCCCGTTTTCTCGGTAGTTCTCCTTCTTTAAGGGGTATTGTTCACCACATCATGCTTACGCATGGTACTTCGTACAGAGTGTTAAACATCAAAAGTGACTCTGCGGGAAGACACTCGCAGCGCAGCGTTTCCAGACATGCGGTGCTTCGCTGCCAGCCTGTGCACACCATCCCGATCATTTGCATGAACCTTGTCGAATACATAGTAATGTTGCAACTCTACCGCCCCTGCTGCTCTACGAGTTCACTCCCAACGACACACGACCATCCCGGCGAGTACCTGATGAGTATTGGATGATTACTGTGGAGTGCGACTAATTCCCGCCGCGAGCATCTCCGTCTTTAAACCTCGACCAGTGCCACGCTGTCGGCCGCGACTGTTATCATTTCGTAGCGCGCTCGCCCACGGGAACACGAAGCAGCACCGAACATCCGGCATAGAATATCCCTAAGGCCTTCAAAGAGTAACTCGGTAAATTAATCTCGTTCTCAAGCCGGTTTCCATTACCGACTGCAAATTTATAAACAGACATCTCATGGCACATTCATTATCCCGTCACCGACGGCGCAGCGTCTTGTTTACTTGACCTGCTTTTCAGTCTGCTCCTTGATAGCCTTCCCAAGACCAGCATCGACACGCGAGAACATGTCATACGTCCGGTTCCGCGTGTCCTGGTGAGCGGCGCTCAGGTGGCCGGCCACATTGCCAACAAAGTTGTCTTGCTGGCCAGAGGTTCGGCCGAGAACATCCCAGAGCCCCTTGGCCTGGACGTAGTCGTCGTCGTTGATCTCCTGGAAGAGCGCGTGAACCGCGGAGCCAGACCACTGCTCATGGGTGTTCACGGGAGGGGCGGTCTTGTAGGTGAGCGGCCTGTAGGAGCTGGGGTAGTTCGGGTTGGCACCGTAGTTTCCATTGACGACCATGGCGCCGTCCCGCTGGTAGGGGTTGAAGGGGTGCAGCGGGGCGTTGACAGGAATCTGCTGATAGTTTGTGCCCAGACGGTGGCGGTGGGTGTCGGGATACGAGAACAGGCGCGACTGCAGGACGGGGTCTGCCGAAGGCTCAACGCCAGGGACCAGGTGCGAGGGCGAGAAGGCGACCTGCTCGATCTCGGCAAAGTAGTTCTCAACATTCTTGTTGAGGGTAAGCTTGCCGACGGGCCTCAGAGGAACCTCCTTCTGCGGCCAGACCTTGGTCAAGTCGAAGATGTTCCAGCGGAACTTCTCGGCCTGCTCGGGGGTCAGGACCTGGACATAGACGGTCCAGCTGGGATAGTCGCCCTTCTGGATGGACTCGAAGAGATCCTGGGTGTGCCAGTCGGGGTTCTCGGAAGCCAGCTTGCCGGCCTCCTCATTCGTGAACGTCTTGTTTCCCTGGTCCGTCTTGAGGTGGACCTGGGTGTACACAAAGGAGCCGTCGGGCTTGGTCCACTTGTGGGTGTGCCCAGAGTAGCCGTTCATGTGGCGGTAAGAGTAGGGCGTGCCGCGGTCGGAGAAGAGGTGCATGACCTGGTGGATGGCCTCCTGGTGAGTGGAGAGGTAGTCCCAGAACATGGTGGCATCCTTGAGGTTGGTCTGCGGGTTGCGCTTCTGGGTGTGGATGAAGAGGGGGAAGTTGGTGGGGTCTCGCAGGAAGAAGATGGGCGTGTTGTTGTAGACCCAGTCCCAGTTGCCCTCCTCGGTGTAGAACTTGACGGAGAAGCCTCGAGGATCACGGGCGGAGTCGGGCGAGCCCTTCTCGCCGCCGACGGTAGAGAAGCGAGTAACGCACTTGGTCTTCTTTCCGACCTTGCTGAACATGTCGATGGACGTGATGTCAGTGACATCGTGGGTCACCTCGAATTCACCGTAAGCACCAGCACCCTTGGCGTGGACTACTCGCTCGGGGATGCGCTCGCCTGTGGTCTCGCTGTTAGCAAACTGAGACTCTGCCTAGCCAACCTGATACACAGCTGGTGCTGAAGCCGAAGACGCGGAAAGCACCAGCCACGTATCAGACTCGGGGTAGAGTGAACTCACGGTCAAAGTGCGCCAGCTGGTCAATCAAGTGGAAGTCCTGAAGCAGGAGCGGCCCCATGGGACCGGGACGCTGCCACCCCGAAGGGTTGTTGACGGGGGCGCCATTGGAGGTGGTGTAGACGGGCTTTTCGTCATACCGGTAGGTGGAAGCAGGGGCGTCGTTGGCACCCATTGTGGCGGGTGGTCAAGTGGGAGGAGGATGTGGCGTGGTGTAAGAGCGTTAAGTGTGCAAACAAGGCAAGATGCTCTATGAGTCTATGGTCAATCTCTAAGGGCTCTGGTCGAGAGCCAGAGGGAAGTGCAGACAGGGAACAAGACGGATGACGAGCTCGGGGAAGGAGGAGTGGAGGGACCAATGCCGACTATATACTGCTCGCACCCTCCTCGCCAGGGCAGGAGGAGCCGCCACTGGTTTGTGGAAACTACGTACGTCTTCGGGCAGGAGGTTCGACGCTAGACAACAAACGAGGGTCTACCTGCCACATGGACGGATGCCCAGGGTACGTACATGCTACATTCTACTGCGACGTGTGAACTGCCAAGTACATGCGAGCAGGGCAGGCATGACAAACCCGCTCGCGGAGGCGAGGCAGGTACCGCCGTGCGAGGCGAGTTAGAGTTCCAACGCGTGCGGTAGCACGGCGGTAACATCTGGATGGCGGTTGCACCGCAGCGCGGCAGACAGCAGGGGAGCTGCCCGGAGAGTTGAGGGGGTTCGCGCCTGCCAGCCCAGCACCGGTTGCTGGGGTCCCGGCCAACCGCGTCGCTTGCATCGTCCGATACTGGCTAGCCGTCGCTCAGTGTGTGCCCGGCCCGGGCAGGAGCGAGCGACAGGGCGACGGCATTGGCGGATGGCGGCCAAGTGGGCGGGCAGGCGCCGCCAGGCCCCAGGACTTCTCCGACGTTGACGTCTTCAGTGCCTTGCCATCCCTGCCGCTGCTGAACACGCAGCGGGGCGCACAGCGGTGGGCCGCCGCCCCTCCCACCAATGGCCGGCGGGGCAAATGCAAGCGTCAGCCTGCTTGGCCCCGACGTCGACATCACCACTTTTTGACTTTTGCTCCTCCATCGCTCGGGCCTGGTCCCGCAGTTCGATCAGCGATGGGCGCGCCGCTGCCGCGCACTGCACCGCATGTGCTTGTGTGTAGCACCATGTGCGACCGCTTCGCAGCTCGAGGGCATTCGCCTGAGCACGGGACCGTCTTTCCAGCCGAACAGAAACGTACTCGTATGACCTGATTTCCTTGGTGCATGGCTTGGGAGCTTACTCGGCACTGGTGGATTCCATATCACTTCTCGCACTCGAGACCCCCTCCACCCCCCAACCCAGCGAGCAGGAATAAGCACCGGCAGACAGCCTTTCCCCCCTCCCCCCTCTCGGAAGCCCGAGACGGCCAGGCTCTGGGGACACCGGTCAACGCGACGGCGGCCATTTGAAAGCACTGATGCCAAAGTGGCCAGCGCTCCCGGGCGGAGACATGCCGGCAGCGCTGGCCGCCTGTTCCGGCGCATCCATCCGCATCCACCCCCGCGAGACGAGGCCGAGGGGACTCGGGCCCAACCCCGAGAGAAATGCGACGAGAAGAGGGCCTCGAATTCCGAGAAAGACGGTCCTGGGGCGGTGCGCCTGTTTCCACGTCTCGAGTCACGCTCAGAGGGCGCGCGTGCTTCGTGCTCGCACTCTGCTGGTTCTGGCTGCGTGCTTGGGGATGATATGATATGCTGTATCACACTCACGGGACGGTCAACGACAGACGGCGTCGGGCATGAATTCCTGGTGTCCAACGTTCGGGCTTTCGACCTCTTCTCGTCCAGTTGCCATGGCCACAGGAACGAGATCATGTGGTCAAATAAGCATACATTCAAGCTGCGTCGTACCTCGAGCGTCCCAGCCGCGCTGGGTGTAAGTCGTGATACCATACCACCGCCGTGTACGAGGGCATTACCCCGCGGTCGAGTTGGCTCGGGACGGATTCGACGCAGCCGTTGCACGGACGGACCGGCGCAGACCACTCGTCATCGCCTCACTGGCCTCTTGGGCCTTTGCGCCATGCACCCCAGGCGCGCATCATCTGTCGACCAGACATCGTTTTGTCTGTCTCTGGCCCGCCTGACGTCGACGCGGCCGGTCCGTGGTGGGGCTCGCTGGCGCATACCGGATGCGGCAAGGCGCCTCCCAAGTCTCCCAACCCCAGCTGCCGGTGTACCTCTGTGATCTTGATGGACCTTCATCAATATTCGAACCTGACGAGTGCTCCCGCCGCCACCCACCACCGCTATCGGCGTCCGGCGAAGTTCGCGGTCGCGTCTGCCCGGGTGCGTGCGACACGTCCGCGTCACGCAGTCACCTGCTCAGGGGCGGACGACGACACTCGGCCCGGGTCGATGTCCGAGTCTCGTCGAAACTGCACCCTAGACAATTCTGTACTGACCGCGCCTCAAAGACAAATAATGCTGCCAACACGGCCAGCCTCCACTCGTACGATATTCGCCGCGGTTTCCCGACGCCATGTAACCAGCTCACGCGGGTACAACTCGACTCCTGCGCCACGTACTCCGTAGCTATCGGCATTTGCGGACATGCAGGCGTACGGGAATTGTCGCCTCTTCCCTGCATGTTTTCCGGCAGCTGTCGTCGCTCCTGTGTGGACATCTCGGACATCTCTCGGTTAACCTTGACAGCGTCTTTCTTCGCACCCGACTTTGAAGGCCTTTCAATGCTCTGCGTATTCCTTCCATTCAAAAGGTCCACCCATCGTATTCCATCCACTGGACCACTATAGCCAGGGGTTGGCCATGTTCAATATCGGCGTAGTAACCCATTACCTCTTGCTGTGTCACATGGAGTCGGCTCCTTGTAGCAGCACATACAGACCAGTCCTTGTGACAGCCAAGAATCATAACAGAATCGAACTCCAGGACAGCGCGTGTGGGCGTCCGGGGCTCTGGCATTAAAACGGTCGTACTAGTATCTTATGTGTCTAACCACGGCCAACGCCGTGCCTCCCATGCGTTTCGAGGGAACAGCAACCAGCTCATCCAGCAGGCGCCAACCTCCCGAATACCCTCCCTGTATGCACCGTTCGTGCGTCCGAGACGCCGAGAATGTTCGCGCCCTCTTGATATCTTCTTGTATGCGCCCCCTTACGCCCTGAACCGCGGTCGCTCGACATGCGACGGAGCTGGCAGGGACTATGATCATCACGTCGTTGGTTGTTGTACATGTGCGAGTCGAAAAGGTCGTTTCGTGGCATCGCCGTCGGTCGCCAGGCTGCTTATTCCTGAGAAACGGTTTGCTGAGAGGCTGCTGTCAGCGTGTCGAGCTACCACACATGGGCTCCTCGCGGCACCGAGCAGGGCAAGGGGGGAAAGCTTACCACGAGCCAGTCCATCCCTTCGTTGACGCCGCTGCCGTCCACGGCCGAGCACGCCATGATGCTCCAGTTGCGGTCCCGCAGCTCGCCCAGGCGCAGCGCCTCCGAGATCTCGCCCGCGCCCTTGGCCCCGGGCTGGTCCTGCTTGTTGGCGAAGACGAGCAGCGCGGCGTCCTTGAGCTCCTCCTCGTTGAGCATGGCGGCGAGCTCCTCCGAGGCCGTCTGCAACCGCTCGATGTCGGTCGAGTCGACGACGAAGATGACGGCCGCCGTGTTGGCGTAGTAGCACCGCCAGTAGGGCCGGATGCTGGTTTGGCCGCCCAGGTCCTTCACGTCGTTTATCGTTAGCAACGCTCGACAGCAGCCGCACTTGTATATCGCGATCCCGAACGTACCCAGACATTAAAGTTGAGGTTCTTGTAGGTGACGGATTCGACGTTAAAGCCGATGGTCGGTATTGTCGTGACAACTTCACCAATCTGCAATCCACTCTGTCAGCACCCTGCGCCGGCGACAGCCACGTGCCCGCCCTCGTGCGCATACCTTCAGTCTGTACAACAGAGTCGTCTTGCCCGCGTTGTCCTGTAGGTGGAGGGGGACCACCTCCCGTTAGCAGACGCGTTCTGCGAGACCGGCGGGGCGTCGGGAGGCCACGAACAAGACCCAGGATCAGAATCCTAATCTCCTTCTTCGCCCACAACAAGTTGGACAGCCATGACATGCCCGAACCCATCTTTGCTGAGTCGTGGTGCTCCGCGCCCACGGGGTATATATCTCTCTGGGGGTGGTGAACTCGGGGGCGCGCGTGCCGTGGGTTAGGTCCCGTCCCGTCGATCCGTCGACACTCTTCGAGGTCGTGCCCGCCGGCGGCGTCGTATGGGGGCAAAGAACGCAACGCACACAAGGGTTTGGGTTGTCGTGTCGTTGGCAGTCGTGTGTCGTCGTCGATGTTCGCAAGAAGCGAAGCTTGAGAAAAGACGTGGCGGACTCCGGTTTGAAGGCCGGACGGATCAGGAGGCGCTGATGAGAAATGGCTTCCCCTGGGAGAGCACCTGCAACGCTGCGCTGCCGGCCAGATGGGCTGGCTTCTAGACTGGGCGGGCCTCCCGAGGGAGGTTGCGTCCCTATTCTTGGCTTCCAATTGGCCTGTGGAGGGTCGACAAAATTCCCCGCGCAGCTGTCCTGCGACAAGGGGGGGGGGGGGGTGGTTTGGGTGTCAAGACTGCCGAGTTCCAGCGTTTGAGGACACGACGCGCTCGTGACGAAGTTGGGTTGGTGCCGTGGCCGTTGGAGGAACGGCATGGGCTTGACAGTTGTTTTCTCCCAACGTTGCTGGAGAAGTGTAGCTAAACTGGTGCAAAGTAGATAGCTCTGAGCAATCAAGCTTACACTCTCGGAGCAACACATTACATGCTGGCGAAAGACAGTGTACTTGATAAGTATCCCGACTATCTCTCCAGCGATGCTTTTTCCTCAAGACTGCATTCCGTTCATGGTACACCGCCAGCCGTGAAGCGATGGGTTCGCAACAACCTCCGTCTCAGCGGCCCGGTTCGTCTCATGTGCCGTTCACGTGTCAAGTCTTGCCCGCCTAATTTTGTCTCCCTCACGACCGGCCATTATTAAGACGGCTTTTCGAGGGCTGTCCAACGTAACGCCACACGGCCCCACCGAGCGGCCGCAGCTTGGCAGCCTCAGGCATCAGCCCCCCCTCGCCGCGCCACAGTACCCGCCTCACCTTGTGCTCATCAGCCACACATTTCGGCCGCACACGTTTTTTGCGCTTTTCCGGCGCTCGCTACTAGGGTTTTACGCCCTCTGGTGCGGGTCAAAAATCCTCGTCGTCTCAACTCCACGAAAATCGTCACCTTCAAGCGACTCGACTCGACACGCCCAAAGCCATCACGATGCCGGTACGCCCTGCTCTCCCTGATCACGCCCGTACGCCGAACCCGCGAGAAAGCCAGCGCGCATATATCCCAGAGATTCAAAACAATTCGGCGCGAGGTTGCGTTGTTCTCGATGGACTTGTGCCCGCTGGCTGCCCGCGGGGCGGAAGGGGCGACGTGTGACGTGCAGCACGCACGCAACATCATGGACTGAACGCTGACCGATGCATCGCCCATCTGAACAGAGCCACAAGTCTTTCCGTACCAAGCAGAAGCTTGCCAAGGCGCAGAAGCAGAACCGCCCTGTGCCGCAATGGATTAGACTCCGAACGGGCAACACTGTCCGGTACGCTCGCCCCCTCCTCTCTCCCACGCCCTCGAGTCGATGAGAATCATCACCTCCCCGATACGCATCCCTTTGAGCGCCCTCCCCGCTAGGGCTTGAAAAAAATTCCCAAATGCTAACGTAGACGGCGCACGCAGATACAACGCCAAGAGACGGCACTGGCGCAAGACTCGCCTGAACATCTAAACTGCTCGCCTCCGATCATTCTCGATTTCCTTCCCTGCATTCGACACAACCACCTCCAGGCAAGCAACAAACAGACCAAAGAAGAAACTATCAAAGGGCACCGGCATCCCACCGGGACGCGACCCGTTTTCTTTTGGGAGCAATGGAGACGCCTCGAGGCAGGAAGGATGGCCGGATTGCGGGTTGAAGCTGTTTTCTGGCGCGAGGGAACGATTTGTGGACGCACGGAAAATGGGCAGGCTTGATTGCCTTGGTTTCTTGATTCTCGCTACACTGCATGTCACGGTCGGTCATAGGGAAAGGAATGCACAGATTTTGATGTCCCGTCAACAGGGAACAAGACACTATTACTCTGCGCCATCGCTATCTGTGACACACCATCAATGGTGAAAGCCTGCGACTTGGCAACGTGAGGCACATCTCTCACGACTTGGTTCGCCATAAGCTCTATTCATTACACGTGTTGTGCATCAGCTTACTTTCAAGACTTGGTCGCTGTACGCTCGACTCATCACGCGTGATATGCTTTCCACACCTCATCAACTTTCCTACACGGCTGGGTCCCTGGAACTCTCCTCCCCGGTTGCCGCTGTCGTCGTATATATTCGCTTCACGGGGCTCTAACGAGACCCCGAAGCTTCGCATGTCGACCTTCGTCGTCCGGATCGTACCGCAGAGCTGACGAGAGTTGCTTCGTGTCTGTCAGCAGGCTCCCGAGGACAGATGATTGACACGTTCCGATGCACTCGACTCATCACAGGTGATGTGCTTGCTACATTTCATCACCCTCGACGCATATCTGCCGGAGCTTTCTGCATTAAAAACGAGTCTCGGGGCCCTACTAGAGGTCTATCCGAAGCCCACGGCATGCGCAACACACTCCGCCCTCGGAATGCCATGAAACCGGGCCCAACTCATGAATCTGTCCGTAAAACGCCTGAATAGCACGCCGTAGACCGCAACGAAACAACATGCAGTGAGCGGCCACTAACCGCAACCCCCACGCGCGGTGCGGCTGAGAGGCCGTCCTTCAAAGCCACGATGGGGGAAATTTATCGGTCCTCGGCCCACTCGTTCTCGCGCCGGATCTGCTCCTCCTCCTCGGGGGTGAAATCGTTGGTGATGTTGAACGTCTTGCGAATCTCCTCGGGAGACTTGCCCTTGATCATGTTGGCGACGGTCTTGCAGCCAACGTCGAGCAGGGGCTTGATGTCCAGGTAGTTGGAAGCCTGCCACGTGAAGGATTAGCCGGACACGGTCGCTCATCGAGACAGCACGATGCAGGGTTCACATACAAGGATGATCTCGAAAAGCATCTCCTGGTCAACCTGCATGAACTTTTGGTCCCAGTCGTCAATATCAGTGCTCTTCTTGCGCGCATCCGACTCCTCGTCCTGGGCCTGAGGCGGGTCATTGCGGTGCCACTCGCACCACTCCAGGACCTTGCGAAGGACGGCCTCGTTGACCTTGGATGGAGTTAGCGCACAGCAATGTATATCCGTGGCAAGCGGCGAAGCAAGTCGGACGAGGATGCACGTACGTTGGGGATGGGGATGGGCGCCTCCTTGGTCGACTTGGCGTCCGTGTCGCCGAGCAGGTTCTTGATAAGGACGGAGCGCTCGATCACGTCACGGTCTATAGACGGCGGTCACGTCAGCAAATCAAGACTCGTCTGCGCACGCGGAGCCATGCGTCGGCTCTGCGTCGCCCGGCGGCGATGATGTGTCGACATACCAACTTCGATGAGGGCATTGTCGTTGGAGGCGAGCCAGACCTTCTCGGCCTGTCCAGCGGCGGCGGTATCGGCCATGGCGACGGTAGAGATGCGGATGGGGTCGAAAGAGTATGCTGTGGAAAGTATGTGAGCCTTGCGATCGGGTGCGATGGCCGAGCTGATAGCAACAGAGGCCGGTCGTCGATGTCGGTGGATTGTGATGGAGGGAGGTTGGAATGACGGAGGCGCTGGAGCGTGGACAGAGTGTAGCAATGAGGCGGGCAGTGGAAGGGTCTGCGGGGTTCTATGGGTGGGTGCTGCCGCGCTGGCGGCACCAGTCGCAATGGATGGAGGGCCACAGCCAGCAGCCACCTCAGTGCGGCTCACGTCGCCCAGGCTCGGGGCGGCGCGCCACGCATGACGTGAAGGGGACTTGCTCACCTGGAACGGCAGTTGCAGTTGGAGTTTGAGAGAATCTTTGGGGGTCACGATCTTGTGAGGTGCGATGTGCGGAGTTCCTTCCCAGAGTGAAAGAGAAAGGAACGAGGGCAGCCTGGAGATGCTTTATTTGTATCAGTGGCAGGAGCTGGCACACGAGGCTGGTTGCCAGGCTTTGAGTGCGCACCGTATACTTCGTACCTTAGCTGATCGTGGCACATTGACGCATTCACTGTGCGCCGCGCGGAAACTCACTGGCAGCCAGCGAGTGGGGCCCCGCTGCTGCCTTGTGGTCGCTGATGCTGATGCACGGTTAGAGTTCAACACCAGGCGTCAGGCACCACCGCGAACAAAGACGGACGAGAGCCTGCCCGGCAGCCAGAGCTTAGAAGGAGTGCCTGCGTCTTGGGGGTTCATCTTCGCATGGCTTCTCGTCGAGACTTTGGGCATCAGGCTCAGCTGGCCATGGCAGATATCTCCTGCATATGAGGTGCCTTGCGCACATGTGCCCCTGTCTCTGTGGAAGCTGCGAGCAAACCCTGCGGGACGCTGTAATATTGTGTATAATAGCAAGTGCCCGTCATTGTCGGTGGGCCAGGCGTCAGCGCCGGCAGACCCTTGCATTTAGTATCGAGGCGAGCCAGTGAGCACATGTGGCGCGGTCTCGCGATTCCCAGTGAATTTCCGGTCGTCGGTTCGTTCAGTCAAGCCACCACCACCACGTCTCGTCTCCCCACGGTTTCGATCTGCGGCGTGTGGCAGGAATGCTGCGGCGCCACTCCACGTGCTGTCTCGTCTCTGGGGGTCCCCAACACATTCCCAGCCTCGCGGGGCAGAGGGCAGAGGGCAGAGGGCATATCGTAGGGCATAGGACCAGGCGGAGGTGCCGGACTGGCGTTGCCTCGTTCGCGGCCGGCAAAAGCTAGGGACGTACGTGGGTTGAGACGACGAGTCACCCGGCCATCACAGATCGAGACGCGTCTTCTCTGGCGGTCGGAGCGTCGAGGGAGGCCCTCAGTGCATGTGCGACTGCGTACGAGCAAGCACGTCGTACGTGGACTGAAACGACCCAACAGCGATGGCGCATGAAGCACTTTCCGCTACGCGCACCTGGCGCTGAGGCGCGGCCCGCGCATCAAGCCTTGGGGGGGGGCCTCGAGCAACGATCAAAGGAACCGTCATAAATGACGCCACTCTCTACAGACAGCCTGTGCCGACGCACGCGCTCCGACGGTGCGACCCTGGGTAAGGCTGTGACAACGTCGTTGCGACGACGTCGTCGAAAAAAATGTGCGATATGGACGGCCGCCTTGCACGTTCATCGTCTGACAGGCAGCCACTCGTGATAACCTGGAAGTTTGCTGTTGTCAATAGAACCTGGATCAGTAGTACGAAGTACTGTGCCCCAGTGGAGAGCTCCAGTGGAGGCCCATTCCCGGCTCGACCCTAGCGACGGGACTGGGACTGGTGGATGACTGGGTCCCGTCCTTCAGGGGGGCCTGCCGCCCGCCCTCCCGCTCGCTCCGGACAGCTCGGACGGGAGCTCTCAGCGGCGCGGCGGCGGCGCGTGTTAGCGCTCTGGTGCAGTTATTAGCAGCGCAGGTCGTGATTGATCTCCCGCGCGCACTTGTCCGCGTCCGGCTGTTGATCGAGGAGGGCCCCTTTCTTCCGCGCGGCCCTGTCCTGCTCTCCCTGCAGTCGTTGGGGCTGCTGTCTCTGCATCAAAGCCGGCCGGCCGGGTGGGGGACAAACATGACAGGACGCGTGTGCTGCTTGCTGACCGACTTGTGGGCTTGCCTGCAGGTGATAGATGGTGGTCTGCTGTGTTGTGCGCGATGCCGATGCCCTGGTGGCGCACACCCGACCCTTTTTCAGGCGTGATGTGCGGTCATGCCCCCCCTGGTTTCCATGGCGCTGCGGTGTGCCTGTGGGTGGTGTGCTGTGGTGTGCTGTTCTGCCCTTTGTCAGGTGCTGCTTCTTGCGCGGCGCCGGGGTGCCAGGCTGGCCTTCTCTCCCTCTCCCGTACCTCAGGTACCCAGCTGCCAGCCCAGCGGCCCCCCTCGACCCCTGATCGCGACCGAGACCGAGATCCCACCTTACCCATCTCCGTCCATCCAGCACACCCGCGGGCCTTTGCCAAAACGCGTCGACAAAATTAAACTAATTTACCCGTCTTCCTGTTCTTGCGCTTCTGTCGCCTTCTTCCGTCGACGTGTTGGGACTGGCGCGGTCGCGGAATCCTGCTCTGCCGGCGCCGTCAGCTGTTGTTGCTGTTATTTTTTCCGGTTTCTGTTCCAGCTTTCTGTTTTCCCTAGCCCGCCAGCCCGCCGCCGCCGCCGCCGCTGCTCACCTCATCCTACAAAATTGTACCACTACCCTGCCTGGCCTGCCTGCCTACCTGGCCAGCCTGCTATCGCGCGTTTCCCGGTTTCTTGCCACCAGCCATCCGTCCTCGACAGCGTTTGCTTTTTCTTTCCTTTTCTCACTCCTGCGACTGCGCTCTGGAAGCCCGACCGCCCTCGAAGCTCAAACCCTCCGCCGCCCATGTCGCGGCACCTCTCATACATCTCCCCCAAGCCCATGCTTGCTGCACCACTGGGGCCATTGAGACCGGCCGCTTGAACCATGTGGCGGCGCACTTACCTGCTGCTCGTCCTCATCCGGCTGTGGTTTGCCCTGTCGCCCAGCTATCTACACCCGGACGAGAATTTCCAAGGGCCAGAGGTCATCGCCGGTATGTTTCCGCACCAGTCCTGCGCGGTCCGTCCCTGGTCGGAGAAGCTTGCGCCGGGGCGCAACCAGCGAACCAACACCACCTTAGCTTTAAGCTCTGCTAACGCTTCCTTGCCTGCGCAGGCCAAATCTTCAGCTACCCAGTCCGACGCACATGGGAATTCACGAGCGACAACCCGATACGAAGCGTCTTTCCTCTATGGCCCGTCTACGGGCTGCCGATGCTGCTGCTGCGGTGGCTGTGGATCGGTAATGGCCAAGATGGCGAAATACCTCCCATCGCCGTCTTCTGGACGCTCCGCGTCCTCATGTTCCTCATCAGCTTCGTCCTCGAGGACTGGGCGCTGCACGAGCTGATACCTTCGCCGCGACACCGTCGCGTCGCGGTCCTCCTTGTCGCATCGTCCTACGTCACTTGGACTTATCAGACCCATACCTTTTCCAACTCGATCGAGACCTTGGTCGTGGCCTGGAGCCTGGTGCTGATCCAGCGCATCGCCGATGATCAGGTTGGTCGCGTCTCTCACTCCCGTAGGGATGCAACCTAGCATGACTAACTCGTTCCGTGTAGCAGCAGTCGTCTCTCATGGCGTCTACGGTTCTTGGCATCGTTGCCGTCTTCGGCATTTTCAACCGCATCACTTTCCCAGCTTTTCTCCTAGTTCCCGGTCTCCGTCTGATACCCCATTTCCTGAAAAAGTAGGTCGAACCGATCCCATCCGCCTCCCTCTCATGAGTATTAAGCTCACCTATGGCAGGCCTTTGTCGCTCGCAGCCCTGGTCTCGGCCGCAGCCCTTACTACTATAATCGCGATCGCGCTGGATACCGCTTTCTACTCATCAGAGCCCATTACCTGGGCGCACCTAATCACAAAACCCGTCATCACTCCCCTCAATAATTTTAAATACAACTCATCCACCGACAACCTAGCTCAACATGGCCTGCACCCGTGGTACCAGCACCTGCTGGCTAACCTTCCTCAGCTCCTGGGGCCAGCGGCTGTGCTCCTGTTCACTCAGCCTCACTTATCGATCCGACTATATTCTGCCATCTCGGGGCTTGCGGTCCTGTCGGTATTTCAACACCAAGAAGCCCGATTTTTGTTGCCTACTGTCCCTTTGATACTGTCCTCGGTCCGGCTGCCCAAGAATAAGACAGTACTGCGGGTCTGGACTGCCGCCTGGATTGGGTTCAACCTGTTCTTCGGCGTCTTGATGGGCATCTATCACCAGGGGGGCATAGTGCCGGGACAGGTGTTCATGAGCAACCAGCCCGATGCCACCAACGCTATTTGGTGGAAAACATACACTCCGCCTATATGGCTGCTGAACGGCAAGAACGAAGTCCTGACAACCAAGGACGTGATGGGGCTGAAGGGTGAGGCGCTGCTTCAACAGCTCACCCAGCTGGCAACCTGCGATGTCCCTGCCGACAGGCGGAGCAAGGAGTACTTGAAGGAGAAGAATGGCACTTATCTGATCGCCCCCGCGTCGGCGACCTGGCTGGACCCATATCTACCCAACAAGGGGCTCCAGGGGCTGCGCTTCCGAGAGGTCTGGCGGTACCGCAAACATCTGAACCTAGACGATATGGATTTTGGCGACGATGGGATATGGCAGACCCTCACGCGGGTCATTGGCAGAAGAGGTCTGGTTGCGTGGAGGGTCACCAAAAGCTGCTAAATACGATAATAGCGATAGAGAAAATCTTGCAATGAAAGCACTCATGTTGTGCAGACGCTGCTATTTTGGCAACCAGAATGTGAGGTACCGCCATGGCAAGAGTCACATCTCACTACAGGCACATCTCACTACAGGCAGAATCATGTTGCGCAACTTTGACTCGATTGACGAGATTCTAGTCTAAGTCAACTGTTTCCAGCCACAGAGACGTGGAACCTCGAGCCGCAGCCGCGACAAGGCGTATGACCCCGCTTAGTACAGGCGCTTGGGGGGAGACATGGAAGCCTTGATGGTCAGGCTTCCAACGTTCTGCCAGCCCTTCTTGAGGAGGGAGACGAGGTAGTTGATGGCCAGCATGACGTTGGCGACCAGCTGCTCGGGCTCCATGCCGACGTTGCCGACGGCGACACCCATGCAGAGAACCTTCTTGAGCTGGAACTTGATGGTGGACTTGACCTCGGTGATCTTGCCGCTCAGGTCGTCGGCGTGCGAGACCGGGGTGGGGAACTTGCCAGCTGCGAAGGGCGGTCAGCACTGGCGGATCTAGGGATCGAGAATGATCGAATGTGGTTGTGGCTTACCCTTGGACAGACCGGGACCCAGGAGACGGGGGATCTGCTTGATGAGAGCCTCGGAAGCGATGAAGGCATCGTACTTGCGAGCAAGCTTCTTGATGAGCTTCTTGTTCTTGTTGAGCTTCTTCAGGTCATCGGCCGACATGGCATCGACACCGCCGTGCTTGGCACGGTCGAGATCGTGCTGGTCACCCAGGATGCTGTTGTTTTGCATCAGTTAGCCGCCTTGCTTTCTCGTCGGAAAATCTTGGAGGGGTGTCGGGTGGCGTGGTCGTACCAGATGGCCATGTTGGGGCGGGGGACCGAGGGCAGCTTGATGGTGCCGGAGAAACGCTTGTCACGCTGGGGGTCATAGTTCTTGAGGCCGATCTGGAGCTCGACCGTCTCGAGGAAGTTGCGCTTCTTGGTCTCGTTGGAGTACTCAAGGAGCTCCGAGACTTGCGTCCGGACATTAGCTGCGACGGCGGGTTAGCCAGACCTTCTCTTTCTCGAAAATTCGTTGTCGTCGTCGTAGTCGTTCAAAACGTTTTCTCGGCGGGCGCAACAAAGACGCCCACCCGAGTCGCGGTAACGGTCTCTGACGGGAATGCTAGAAGGAACATCGTTCGCTGACTTACCGACTGTGATCTTCGACATTTTGGCAGTCTCCCAATAGATTCGACGGGTATCTAATGGTGGTCAGGACGTATCTGGTTGATGGAGGAATTTCGTGCGCCTGGGCGGGACTCAGGATTTTGGTGATTTTGGCGCTCCGCTTGTGGGCCTTGCCGCCACGTCTGGATTGGCGGGGTTGGTGCGCAGGGCAAATTTTTCTCACGTGGAGCGCCACGTGACCACCTTCAATCGCGACTTTCAAGGTCAACTTACTCGTCGATAGCGGGCCCAACCAGCAACTCATCAAGGGTTGGTATGAGAGGCCAGTGAGGCTTTCATATTGATTTGATTGTACGGCAATGGGATGCATATTGGTTATGTGACAAATTGAGCAGAAACATCACGCCTCGATTCTCCGCCAGCCATGGAGAGCGAGCCCCTCCAACAGGCGGCCGGTCTGCTCGCCAACCCAGCGCAGCTGATAAAATGGCTTGAGACAAAGGAACCAGAAGCACAGACAAGGTGCGTGCTCAGTGCTCGTCAAGTAGGCTCTTGCGCTGACTGTAAAGCAGATGTGCCGCTGCTCTGTTCGATCAGCTGTTGCGAGAAGCCGGCCAGCCAAAGTCAGTTTCCGGTCAGGCCTGCGTGAGACTATGCGGTCTCGTAGAACAGTCATCCAAGGCTGTATCAGGGGATCTGAGAAAATGGGCCTTTTCTCACGACGTCACCCTCAAGCTCTTCGATTTCTTCATGGACTGGAACGAATCTGATCAGCACCGATCCATGAAGCTCGTCCTCGACCTCGTCGTGCAGCTTATCAAGAGGAACCCTCAGCAGGACAGTGCCCTCGCGACAAAACAGTTTCTCCTAGATAACCTCATCTCCATTGTCACCGGGCGCTCCACTAAGCCGGTTGCTAAATCGGCCATCAAGACCCTGGACCACTTCCTGACAAAGGGGGTCTTTACTCTGGACGAGATACGGTCTTGCTACGAGAGCCATAAGCCTGGGCATGCGGACAGGGATGACACGGAAGTCTGGAGGCTCTTCATGCTTGACCTCTTTCGCTGGCTGCGGTTGCACTTTGTCTGCCCAACGGCAGGCAAGTTCATTGTCTCGGTATACCGATGCTGGCATCCGGGAGGCGATGCAGAGACGAGTGGCCCAAGCATGAGGACATGGTATAAGTGGCTGTTGCACTTTGCAACCGAAGAGCCTTCACTGCTGGAGTCTATCAAGAATTACATCTTCTTGCCGCTCCTGAAAGCGGAGCGATCCGAGGCGCTGCGATTCCTTGGCATGATGAATGAGGATAAGGCTGTCGCCGGCGCCGCAAGCTTGGATCTTGACATGCCTGCTTTGCTACAGCTTGCCGCTCTGGAAGCTGGGAAAAAGGTTGGACTCGTCGAGGAACCAGGTAAGGACCTTCCGGACGAAGGGTCGATATACCGAAGTCTGACGGTAATACAGCTCTTGGAGGCGACGAGCATCAGGATACCGAATCGATCACCGTCCAAGAGAAGACATTGGATCGGGTTCTGGCGCACCCTTCGCATGAAGTGCGCGCCCTGGCAATGTCTCTGCTCATCACCTCGCCGTCCACAACAAGACCCTATTCGTTTGCGGCTTTGGAGCTGCTGCGGAAGCATCTCGGCGCGTTCTTCGCCGACGCCGATGCCAAGTTCCGCATGGAGATTGCGGGCAAGATTCGAGACATGTTCAAGCGTGTCCGCGGCGCCATCCACGTCTTGAAGAGAAGCATACCCCGTGTCCGAGCAAAGGCCAGAAAGGCAAATATGGCGGCCACCGACGCGGATGTCGCAACGCAGCCGATTCTCTACCGCTCCAATCTAATTACGCTGCCGGAAGCTCAGCTGGTGCACTGCCTCGGTTATCATGAGAAGTTCTTGCGGTGGTATATTGGCTTTCTCTGCAGCGAACTGACGCCGACGGCGTCGTACCAGAGACATGTCGCGTCACTAAAAGCGCTCATGTTCATCACCCGCTTGGAAGGAGAAGCGAACAAGGCGTGGGAGACCGCCGACGACCAGGTGCTCTTTTTCGATCTCTTTGACGACAAGTGGGCGCGAGCGCTGTTCGACTTGCTCATGGATCCGTTCGATGACGTGAGAGATATGTCGGCGACAGTTTTGAAACGGATATACGCCGATGATAGGTATCGCCGCTTCGCTCTTTCGAGCGACGCCGATGACAGGCGCGTTTCGGAAACCCTCGTCAAGGTTGCGAAGCGAGCTGAGAGACTGTCGCAAAGGACGTCGAGAGCCGACCACTCCGATGGGGCGTCGAGAGCGTGGCAGCTGGTGTTTCGGTTCTTGGACACAGGGGAGAAGCAGGTTGCATTCTTGGCCAAGATGATTGACGAACTGGATCGCAAGACGTCGATGGCGGAAACTGACCTGGGCCGCGCCGTGCTAGAAGCGCCTCTGCACGGCGATATATCCTCGCTGAACCACATCTGGCAAGTGGTCTCGGAGCTCAGGCTTGCCGAGGCTGATCTTGCGGCTGTCCAAGCCTTGCAGTCGAGACTAGTGTCATGCTGTGGTCGGGTATGGGATGCGGTCAAGGATGTTCTTTGCGACGACTCACCTGAGGGCCATCTGCCACAGGAACTGGAGGACATGGAGGGCCTCGACACAAAGGGGCTTCTGAGCTTCAGCTTTCGCGCCGTCCACGAGTCCAGGTAAGCCTAATAGGAGACGTCGCCAACCCTACCCGTATGATTCTGACTGGTAACTAGCAATCTCATGCGAACCATGGTCCTGTCGTTCCGCAACCGATCGCGGGAGGGCCTCCTGATACCGACTCCTGAGGCCTTTGAGAGCATCGGCAACCTGACTTTCAAGGAGCTCGTCAACCTGCGACACCGCGGCGCGTTCACAACCGTGGCCTTGACCTTTGCCACCTGCTGCCAAAACTCGAAGCACGTCGAGCAGGGTGCCGCGCTGCTCGACGCTTGGTACCAAGGGACCATGAATGCCATCTTTACGCAAGCTTCCACAACCCGACGATCCGCGGGCATACCTTCGCTGATGACGGGCATCCTCTCTGCCAACGCGGCCCATCCGTCGTTTGAGCATGTTATGGAGGAGCTCATGAGCATCGCGCGCAGGGAAGCGCGCGTCGCCGAAACAGACGGCTCTAACCTTCCGCAGGTCCATGCGTACAACTGCCTGAAGGACATCTTCAAGAACTCCATGTTGACCTCCATGGGCAACAAGTCGGAGAGCTACCTGCCGCAGTGCCTGGAGCTCGCGGCCAGCGGCTTGCGGTCCGAGGTCTGGGCCATCCGCAACTGCGGGCTCATCTTCCTGCGAAGCCTGATCGACTGCCTGTTCGGCTCGCAGGAGAGCAAGTCCATGATCGAGGCCGGCTGGGACGGCAAGGCGAACAGGATCGCCTACCACCGGTACCCGAGCCTGCCTGCCGCGCTGCGGAACCTCCTCAAGTCGGGCCATGAGACGCTGGCTCAGACAGCGGCAACGGCTTCCGCTGCCGAGTCGGTGTTCCCGGCACTGGATATCATTCGCCGCGCCGGACCTCCGGAGCTGCTTCGCGATGAGATCCAGGTCCACGTCGCCGTCTACCTGTCCAGTCCCGTCTGGCACGTGCGGGAGCTGGCTGCCCGAACCCTGACGTCGTGTCTACTGCACGACAAGTGGCTGCAGACAATCAAGAGCATATTCCGAGACGCAGACGCCTCGAAGACTGGGAACCGGCAGAATCACATACACGGCGTTCTTCTGGCGCTCAAGTACGTGATTGAGCGCCTCAGCGAGGTGGCACTGGATCAACTCAAGGGTAAGTCGTTTTCCACTTGCGACGAACATGTCACTGATGGCTTCTAGGTGATCTTGAGGAATTGGTCGAGTTCCTCTCTTCGACTTCTGTGGATGCCAAATTCCCCAATTGCCCCGAAATCGCGGCTGCGTACCTTGCCGTGGTCAACCTCATCTGGGTCGTTGGAAGGTCGGCTTCCCTGGCCCTGCCTCCCATCACAGTCACAATGCCCTCCAACAGCGGCTCCGCTCTGCTCAGGCACCAGCAGGTCATATACGCGATGCACGATGCCGCCACGAAAAGCCATCCCGTGCGTCGCATACGGGAATTGCTTTTGGACCAAGGCCCGGCTGCGGACTGCTCCGTGACGGGTCTGGAGACTCTCCCTAGTGTATGGAGCGTGGCTACATCACCAAAGGAATCCCTTGCGGAGCTCAGCGAGCTGTATATTGACGTATGCCTTCAGACGAGGCTTATAGAAGCCCAGGTCGTTGCGGTTCAGAATCTGGCCGATATCGTCGATGAGCTTCTCCGGCGCGATGAGGCGCAGGGCCTGTCGACAGGGCGACTTGTCGAGCTGTGGTCTACGCTGTCGTCGCGGTCCCTCAACCCAGCTCTGGCCAATGCCGTCATCCGAGCCAGTGGAAGCATAGTGGCTGCTCTGGGGAGAAGACAGGATGCTTCCAAGATCAGTGTCCACGACTGGGGACTGATGATGGCCGATGCTGGCCTGGACGACAAGGTTCGCTCAACTCACACTCAGCCCGCAACGAGGCGCAATCAGGGGAACGTTGGCTAACTCTGTCACAGACATTCGACACGCGATTCGCCGCCGCCGAGTCCCTCCGCGCATTCTTCGCCGCCGCCGGTCAGGACCACACCTCCGAGGAACACCTCTCCCCGCTCCTCGCGGTATACGACGCCCTGAACGACGACGACGACGAGGTCCGCGAAATGGCGTGCGCCTCCGTGGCCATCATCCTCGGCGAGTCCCTCGTGCCCATGGAGGCCGCCTCCCGCCTGCTCCTCTGGCTGGCCGCCAACCTCGGCGACAGCCCGCGCTTCAGGGCCGAGGTCGCCAGCCGCATCGTCGGCCACTGCGGCATCCAGGCCCGGGACAACGCTGCCGCGTGGCAGCCCGCGGGGGACCAGCTCGCCCGTGCGCTGGAGTTCGACGACTCCCTCTTCGTGGTGGAGGAGCAGAACCTCTTCGTCGACGAGGTCCGCGAGACGGACCGCTGGGTCGGAGCCTTTGAGAGCCTGACCTGGAAGGGCGATGAGGAGCCCCTGATGAGGTTGGACGGCTGGCTCGCCGGAGGCGTGGCGGAACTGACGAGGCTGTTCGGCGAGGAGGATGGGCCGCTGGGGTGGGCGTCTAACCCAGAGGTCTTTGCCATTTGCACGCGGGTGGTGCGAGGCTCGGCGGCGTTGGCCAGGGGTAATGCCTCCTCGCCTGAGCTTGCCCAAGCCGTGGCGACGGCCAAGGAGGCGCTGCAGTCACACGGCACCAGTGTCTCGAGGCTTCTCACTGCTGGATGGGAAGATGCGCCGTAGATGCTGCCTTGAAATTCAAAAAAAAAAAAAAGCAAATGGACATGGATACGACCCCCATACAAAGACACATAGATGAATAGACCGACCATCCCGGACACCGCAAACACCCCGCCGTTCCCAATGCCATGACATGCTTGTTTGTGTGCGTTGCGGTTCCCAGACCGTTATTTGCTGCTGGATTCATGCTAGACCTCGCTGCTGCTTTTCTTTCCCTCCCCTTACCTCCCTTGCATGCTACGACGAGGCCGCCCTGTCCGACTTGCCGAGGCTCTTGATGGACAGCTCCCGGGACGAGGCCGAGTCCTCCCTGTTGATGGCGCCGAGGCGGCCGAGGCGCGCGACGAGCATCGTGTTCTCGCGCTGCAGCTCGCCGACCTGCCCCTGCAGCAGCTCGAGCTGCTTGCGGGCGACGTCGCGGTCTGCGCGCGCGCGGTCCAGCTCGAGCTGCAGGCTGCTCTTCTCCTCGCGCTCGAGCGTCTTGCGGCGGCGCGCCTCGGCCTTGCGCTCCTCGTGCTCGCGCTTCTCCTCGAGCTTGCGCATCTCGCGCCGGTACTTGGCCTCCTGCTTGGCCAGCTCGCGGTCGTGCTTCTCGCGCGCCTTGGCCAGCGCCGCCGCGTCCTTGTCCTTGTCGCCCTGCCGCCGGCTCTCCAGCCGCTCCTGCATCTTGGCGTAGTTTTCGTCGAGCTTGCGCCGCCGCTCCGTGAGCTTGAGCAGCTCCTTCTCCAGGGGGTTGTTGTTGTTGTTGCCGTTGGTCTTGGACTGCGACCGCGACTCGGACGAGTGGCTGCCGTTGATGCTGTCGCCGCCGCCCATGTCCGCCGTCATGTACCGCTCCATGGCGGAGCTGAAGCTGTGCGTCGACGACGCGTCGCTCTCGGAGCCGTTGTCGTCGTCGCCCTCTGCGCCCTCCTGCTTCGTCTGGTCTTCCGCGACGCTCTCTTGGCTGGTGCTGAATCCGAGGGGGCTGCTGAATTGCTGACGCAGGCCGTACGCGACCGACGTGGCGGCCCCGAATGCGCCGGCAATGATGCCGTATATGCCATTGCTGCTGGGGATTCCCTCGTCGTCGTCGTCGCCGCCGGTACCCGCTTCGTCCTGCGTGCGGTTGGCGGCGTTGACGTGTTGCTGATTTGATGGTCTATTGCGCGCATCGGCCGGGGAGAGATGTTGTTTCTCTCCGTTGTGTTGGACAGCTCCCGGCTCCGACTCTTTGGAAGGGTCCATGGCGGTGACCCATTTGAGAAACTTGCCGGCGTCGCCCACGATGCCCGGCGGTGTGCCCTTCTCGATCATGAAGCGCGGGACGCTGCCGCCGGGGTCGCTCCTCGTCACCATGAGCCACTCGACGGCGCGGGGGCCGTCTTCGCCGTCGCCACCGTCGTGGTCGCCCTCGGCCGGGGGCTTGGCGAAGCTGACCCTCCGCGTGGCGTCGTCGGACGTGAGGTCGGCGTGCGAGAAGGACCGCTTGCCCGCCATGCTCTCGCCGGGGACTTCCCTGATGATCTCGACGGACTCGTACTGGCCGCGGATGATGCCCTGGCGCGGCGGACAGCCCGGATGCGTGCACGGCTTGGACACAATCATGTACTGGCGCAAGGGGCGGGGTCCGTGCTGCTTCTTCTGTTGTTCCTGCGACGGCGGCGGTCTTCCCGGAATGGTGTCAGTGGTCAGGAGAAGAGTGATGAAGTCTCGCGGCGAGGTCGGCCCGGGGAACTGGGCAGAGAGTTGGAAGACTGGTGCATGTCAGCAGCGAGGTCTTTCCCCTAATCCCTTCATCGGTCTCTCCAATGGCCAGAACAAAACGACGAGGAGGGACGAAAACATACCATTCAGGTGCCCCGCGCCATCAAGGACCTTGTGCTCGACGCTCCTGTCGGCGCCAATGCCGCGAATGTTGCCACTCCCCGGCGACCCCTGGACCTTCATCGTCTCGGCAAACTCACGCTCCAGGCCGGCCTTCCAGCGGTCAAAGGACAGGCCCTCGTGGACGCTGCGCCGGGCGAACCACGCGCCGCGCCCGTCCTTGCCGGCCAGCTTGTACACGGTGATGCCCAGCGGGTTGTCGCGCGGGTTGACCTTGACCTCCTTCCACTCCTTGCGGAGCTGCTCGCGCTGCTCCGCCGATGGGCCTGCCGACGATGACGGTGATTGATCCTTGGCTGTTGCTGCTGCTGCTGCTGCGCCGCTGTAGAAGACGGCCGAGTCGGTCTGCGCGCGGGCGCGTCCGGTAGCCGTAGTGCTGTTGCTGCCGCTCGTCGTCGTCGTCGTCGAGGGGATCGAGTCGACCACGACCTGCGCCTCGGCAAAGACGCCGTTCAGGAACCCGTCGAGGCCGCCGTCCTCCTGCGGCACCTCGGCCCAGTCAATGGGCGCGAGGGCCTTGAGCGGCTCGTGGTGCTTGGCCATGATATATTAATTATCGGCTGGGAAGGGCGTACGGCGCTGCTCTCTTTCTCTCTCTTCCTCTCTTCCTCTCTCTCTCTCTCTCTCGATCTCTGGCTCTCAATCGTCCAACGACGGCTACCTACCACTACTACAAACGGTCGAGCGTCACCGTTTCAGCCCCGCAGCACCATGCCCGTTTGGCCGGGGCGAGCTTCGCTGCTGCGTCGTCGTTTCGTTTGTGATTGTTCGTTTGCCAGGGGGGAATCGCAGTCGAATGCAGTTGAGGTGTGTATGTCGGCGGGCCGGGGAAGCGATTCGGGGGGTCCACGAGGGTCTTAATCCAGGGTGTGGTTGCAGAAAAAACCGGACTGACTGGATTGTACTTGTGCGCGCGCGCGCGGATCTCGCGGGGAAGCTCACCAGCTCGGCGGCGCCTCTTTGACGTCACTGAGTATCAGCACTGTTAGTCAGCGGCGCATCGTGATCTATCACCACCATCATCGTCAACCACCCTCGGGTTTCCCGGACAGCGCTAGCTAGGCAGAGGCGGTCATAGCCAAAAAGCAGGAATTTTGTACAGTCGACAACACCAGCTACCGTGTCCTGACGCGCCCTTGCAGCATCCGCCAGGCTGGCCGCACATGCAATCACCAATCCTTTGACCAGTGTAGGGTAACTTGCGGAAGGTACTATCAAGTCGTCCACGTCCGCTTGAACGTCTGGTATCACACCTGAGATGAAAGGTCTGCTGGCATAGTCGAGGCTGTTATGCAGTTGCCGCAGGAGGGCCCATGCGCCGAGGCCGGCGGCGTCGCCCAGCGTCTATCATTTACATCGCTGGAACAAGAGTGAACAAATACAGGCTCCCCGTCATCCACGACTCACAAGTGGTTGACCATCCTCTCCTTCATCACCGCGGCCAGGTCCTTCCGGCAGCTCCCGCAATGGCCTCTTCTCCAATCCTCAAGCACCTTCTTCTTGCTCCTGTCCAGAGAGCCCAGCACCTTCTGCGTCGATGACTCGTCCCGCGCCGCCTTGTCGGCGCCTTTGGGTCCGCCCTTCTCGAGGAGCGAGTCCAGGCCGTCGCAGAGTGACTTCTCGTTGATGAGCCAGTTCTCCCATTCCGACTGCAGCATCTCCCTCTCGATGCTGTTGACCACGCGCATGGCCACCAGCAAGTCGTGTCGGTAGGACCCGAGTCTCTGCCGCGTCCGCCGTAGCCGCCGCGCTGTTGCGCGGCTCGACGACGACGTCAATGTCGAGCCCGCGTCCTCCCAGGGCGCGTCCATGTCCGTTGCGTCCAGGAGCTCTTTGTATGTCTCAAAGCACGTACTGTTGGCTGGGAAGGTCAGCTCGTTGCCCGCTGCCCCTGAAGCCCGGTCCAGGTCCGCAAAATATATCGCCCTGCTCATCACGGGGTTCGGCTTCACTCCTATTCTCCGCATGAACCTCGCCGCGCTCCTTTCCTTCCACCACGTCGAGGACTCTGTCGATGTCAGCAGCACGTTGGTTAGTGCGCTGAATCCAAGCAACAGAAGAATGACACGTTGCGCTGATATGACACCAAACAGCTTCTTCAGCGCCGCAAATGCCCACATGATGAGCGACGAAACCGCACTCTCCGCGAACGACCTGACAGTCTCGAGAAGCATTGCCGTCAGCGTCCGCGGCGAGATTGCCTGCTTCTTGGAAGAATCCGTCGCGGCCGGTGAGAACAGCACGACCTGAGTCTGCTGTCCGACATGGCCGTACACCTGGATGGCCCGGTTGGTACGGCTTCGCGGGCCAAGCTTCCGGACCTGATCTGTGGCCAGCTCTGCCAGCTCCTCTGCGTCGTTGGCGGCGTCGTGCAGCGCCTGACGTTCAACCAGGTTCTTGGACAGCGCGGGCGCCTTGGACCAGTCGATCCCGACGAAGATTGCGAGCTTGCACTTCGACTTGGCCACGTGCGTGATGACAATCTTGGTCACCACCTTGAAGCTTCGCGAATGTGGCAGATGCCAGGCTGTCTTCATGTGCGTCACCACATACGTGACATGGTCGCTGTAGACATCAATTGTCTGGTAGTCCTCCACGTCTTCGGACTTGGATCGGCCGAGCATGTCCATGTAGTCGACCTTGAAGTGGAAGTCCCGGCGCATGCGTCCCTGGTCTACCAGCACCCACGGGCCCTGTGCAATCTGCTGCGCCCTGCGCTCAAAGTACAGCTTCGGGAAGACAAAGCTTTTATCCCCGAACAGCACGTGGAAGCACGCTTTCGCGCTGATCTCGAAGTGCCGGTCGGCAGCCATTTCTGCCATGCCCTCTGGTTCATACTCGACGGGCTGCGAAGGAAGATGGAGCTTCTGTGGGAGCTTAAGGCGAGTCTTAGACGTCCCTACGTGTACATGGTGCCCAAGGTTGAAGCTGTGGTGGTGATGATGGCTGTGGTGTCGCCCCACGGGTCTGCCAAATGATGTCCCATCGTCTATGGGCGTCGTTGAAGACACCTCCTCCCAGCTGTCGGCGCTTGGGCTCGGCTTGTCGAACTCGTCTCTGTCGACACTGACCAGGGCCGAGATGAGGCCTTCTGTGTTCAGAGGCTCTTCAGCTTGCAAGTTGTCGATCAGGAAGTTGAGCCGCGTATGCAATAAGTGGAGGTCGTCCAAGAACACCTTGAGCGTTATGCGTGTGTAACCCGTCCCGTTCGTATCCTGGCCAAGGTGCAGGAAGATGAAATCGCAGTCCTTTCCGGCGGCCGTCGTGACCTCAGTGATGATATCCAGGTGTATGCTGTACGCCGTTACAAGCCCCATTTGCTGGCTATAAAAGTACATGTTGTCTGGCGTGACAAAGATTCTGCCCTCGCCTGAGAGTGTCTCGCTGGGTGAGTCTCGCTCCACGGAGCTTGTCCACGCGGCTCGAAAGACAAGCACCAACCTCTCTCCGGGAGGTGCGTCGGGGAAGAGAAGTCGAAACTGCGCATTCTGTGCTCTAAGCTCCGGCGGATAGTTTCTAGGAAACGGCCTGTCGGCTTGCTCCTCCGCGGCCTTGCCTAGTGATGTCTGCGAACTTTCGGGCACCACCACGCCGATGGGGTCGTCATCGTCCAATCGTGGAAGTACCGGCTGCTCGGGGGCGTTCATGGTTGCCCATACGTTACTCCCCCAGAAATTGGCCACGATTGACGTCGGGAGCTTGCGGCTGCTGGTGATGGAGCCCCGCTCTCCGGCCACAACCACAGCAGTCCGGCTGAGGTTCGTCATCGTAGGCGGTCTAGCCAGAGTGGGCGGAGCGAGGGAGCCCGGTACATTGTCAAGGGTGAGGGTGAATCCACTAGATTGCTTCGATGTGGCGCTTGTGAGGCTAGGATGGACGGGCAAGAGGTTGTGGCTGGCCGATATGAGGCTTGCGATGCCACCGGCCGGGTTTGCTGGTGTCGCAGGGCCAGGTTCGACACCTGCACCGAACGTGCTTTTGCGGTGAAGGTCGAGCTTCTGGATGATTCTCGCCGCATGCTCGCGGCCACTCTCGCCCTCCTCTCTCGTCGCCAGGTCCTTCCCTAGTGCGGTGAATGAACGCCGGTTGAGGGTGCTATTAGCATCCATGCTTTGCCGCGAACCCTCCTGACTGGGGACTCCGAGTGTCGCCGAGCGCTCGAATCCAGGTCCAGCATCATCGGGGATGCCGACTGGGTTGTCAATCGCCTTGGCCGAAAATTCGGGGGCACTCGGGGGCGATATAGAAAAGGCAGGGTCGACAGAGCCAGACAGCGGGTTAGAGTCGCGCGTCATGCTCGCCTCGAACGCCTTCTTCTTGGTGACCTCGAAGACCTCCATCCATTCAATGAGCTCCCTTTGCGTCTCCGCCTGCAGCATCATGGTTTGATTCTTCGTCTTGACCTCGAAGCAGAAGCGCCTGTCCTCGCCCACCGCCGGCTTGGCGTTGCACAGCAGGACACCAATCTCGTCGCCTTGGAGAACGCCTTGGGGCCCGGGGGTGAGCCAGCCGAAGACGCCTTCGCGGCAGTAGTACCACCTGCGGACCCAGCTGTAGCGCACCGGCTTGCCAGTAATCATTCGCAGGAAGAGCCAGCCCTGCTTTTCCGATATGACGGCAGTCTGGTCCTTGACGCGCATGTTCACCGGCCCACGAGAGCCTAGATAAGGCACTGTGGACGTGCTGTAGTCCTCTAGCTCGCGAGACGGTTTGAACTCCTCGAAGGTGGTTTCGCCGAGCTCCCTTCTCGCATTCTGCAGTTCCCGCTTGAAGACGCCCTCGGATAGCTCCATCTCCTTGGCCCAGCCACGGACGCGGTCCATCTCCCGCGTCCACCGTGTGGCGTTGGACGCGGCATCTGTTGCTCGCTTCATCTCCTTCCACATCTCTGTGCAGACCTTGACGAGGAGCTTGTCCATGGTGAAACGCAGCTGTGGCGCCAGCTGGCAATAGTCCATGGACGCCTGGATGTAGACCTTGCGGTTTTCGTACACAGAGAAGGCGTCCTCTCTCAGTGAAGAGGGCTCCTTGGTCTTGGACTGGCCGACGTACCGCGCCAGGGTCGCGTCGTATGCCCTCTGGGTGCTCTCCATTATGCGCCGAATTTCTTTGAAGTTGCGCAAGTCGCCGCTGAGGAACGCGCGGATGGGCTCGATGACGATGGCGTCCATTTTCTTCATGGTGCTCAGTGTCTGCATCCAACACTCCCGCTGGCCGTCGCCGACCCGCTTCAAGGCAAGAAACGCATAGTCGTTCTCGATAATGCCGTCCGCGGCGGACGGCATCGTCTTGGCCAGAAAGGTGTTGATCGACTCCTCCAGCGTCAGGATATCGTGGACCAATCGCGACGTCGAGGAAACGTATCCGTTGAGCCATTTCTCGAGGGCGTCGATCTGCTCGGCAAAGTGCGCGGCGGAGGCGCGGAACGTGGGCGAGTCGAGCGCCGCCTCGTTGAGGCCAACGGGGATGCCGCGGTCCATCGGCCGCTGTGCGACGACCTGGGCGCCGGCTGCCTTAGACATGGTTGCGGGACCGGAACGACGTCCTCGCCGGCATCTGGGCTCGCGGGACCAGTGTTCTGTTTCGTGATTCTCTGATGAAAGGGGAAAGATGAGGCCGGTCGTTGGTTGTCCAACGTCACTGGACCACCGGATTTGGCGGTTGAGGAAGGAGCAAGCTGACGTAGTAGCGGCGGCAGGAGCAGCAGCAGCAGCAGGCGAGACACGGACGGGTAGCTTCCTGCTATGGGGCGGGTTCCATGGCATGGCATGCGCGTCGCCCCACGTGGCTGCCGCTGCCAATTTCCTTAGCACCAGCTGGAGACATCCACTCACACCCGTGGACATCAACGGTGACTTTGCTACAGTGCACTTGGTCGCTGTAATTCACACGGACCGCGCTGTAGGTATTGCTCATGCATTATAAGGTACTTCGTAACTTGCCTCAAGCCCGAGTCTGTCAAATGCGACGATTCATCATGCGCCCAAGTCAATTACCCGAGTTGCTATACGACTGCACATACCGACCTGTACATCAAACGTGTCCACAAGGTGACAAAGGCACGGTCGTATAAGTGGCAGATGCCACCCACCACCCTTGAGCAGTCCACCAACCGAGACTTCAACGCCTCCGTTACTGTTCATGACAACAGAATGGCGCCATCTCCAGCTACATGGCCTCGACACGCTGCTCTCATCGTACGAGCAAGACCTCATTGAAATTTCCTAGAAGCGGGTGAACGGCAGCCTATGCAGGTGTTCATAGTCAGCTTTCCAAACCATCGCAACGACAGCGGCGACCCCAAAATACTCACCACTTCCCCTTCATCGTAATGACGGCCCAGGCCGCGCCCGTCTCGTCGACCTCCTTCTCGACGTCCGTCTTGAAGCACACGCCGCTCATGATGCCGTCGCCAAACTTCTCGTTCAGCACCGCCTTGTACGCGTAGCCGTAGTTTTGCACCACCTCGTACAGGCGGTAGATGAGCGGCTCCGTCGGCGGCATCTGCACCGACGTCCCGCGGTTCGGGAAGCCGAGCATCTGCGCCGCCAGCGGCTCGCGCGGAACCCCCAGCAGCTCGCTCAGCTTGTCGACGTCCTCGGTCGACGCCGTCGTCTGCCCGTAGAAGAGCGCCGCGCACGCCACCTCGCTGCGCCCGAGCGCCTGGGCGATCTCGGCAAACGTCAGGCCCTTGTTCGTCTTGCCCTCGAACAGCAGGCTGCTGAACGATGGGAGGCGGCTCTCGAGGGCCGCCTGCGTTGGTTGGGGCATGTCATGTCAACATCTCTCCATGGGCGCCACCCTGCAGGCAAAACTCACATCAACCGAAGCCAAACGTTGCTCTGCCATCTTGATTTGTCGTCTTTAAACTGCGCTGCCTGGTTGGAATTGTTTAAGGAAGTGTGAGAGACGGCGACGACCCGGAGGCTAATATGGAGCAGATAAGAGGAGATAGCTCGGCATGTCTCAACCCCGCACATATCAGCACCGGAGATGTATAGTCGGAGGTGCTTGCTTGGTCGTCTCTTACGTCACATCAATACATCCTGCACCGATGTGGATCGCAATAATGCACAAGAACTTGACATGTCTTCAAACGAGTGACTATCGACAATCTCCCGACTGCCCAATACCGCTGACCAAATACTCTGCCTGCTTACAATTTAGGAGAGCTCCAGAGCGACACAAGCCAGGTCGCCTTGCCTTGTCGACGCTCCCTCGAGCATGACCGAGACAATACCCAAGCCCAGGGAGTCTGAGTGAGCCCTTGCCGGTCCCGAAGCCGGGACCAGTCTCCGTCGAGCCAGGGAAGAGGGACTAGGTAGCATCTAAAGCAACATCGTCAGCGGCCGCTGGTGGTGGGCAGGTTGCACTGAAGCCGTACCTCCGTTTCCGCTTGTCGTGAAGCTCAAGTGGCCGTCATCATTGAGCGAAGTGGGCTTGGACGGGACGCCTCGTGGCCCTTGGTGCGGGACTCGGCCTCGGCCCTTCGCTTCAAGCGCTTTTCAGCGAAGGACATGGGCGCGGCTTCCGTCGCCCTCGACGAGCCGCGCCGCTCGTCTTCTTCGTCGAGCACGGACGGTTGGACTTGAGCAGGTCCCTCGCTGTTAACGAGGGAATCCGCTGGTCAATCTATTGGCAGTCGTTAGCATTGGGCCTGCTTCTACATGACGCTGCAGCAGTCGTCAACTCACCGTCGTAGTAGTCATCGTCATCGTCCTCCAGATCATTCAACTGCTCAAAGTTGACCTTGTAGCGGAGAATGCCTCCGATACCGCCAAAGCCCTTGACGAACTGGTTGCCTTCGGTAGATCGGTCGGAAACAAACTCGAGGGCGGTACCAAAGTCCTTGTAGTGTTCCGCGATCCACTCGAGGAACGATTCCTGGGCAACAATGTCCATCTCCTGGCCAGTCTGCTTGTCCAGGAACTGGTCGCGGTTCTGCTCCTGCTGCTTGGTCGTGTGCAGAATAATTTCCCTGCCCTCGCTGTCCTTGAGGGTCCAGCGCGTGATTTCCAGGTTCTCGAACACAATGAGCGTCTCGACGGCACCGAGCTCCAGAGCCTTGAGGGTGTCTTCGATTCCGTAGCAGACCTTGCCGGTGTCCTGGCTGATCTCTTCGAAGTACTTGCCAATGAGCTTCTTCTCCTGGATGAACTTGACGTTACCGAGCGTCTCCGAGGACAGCTCAATGGCTTGGTTGAAGCCGTTCTCGCCACCATACGACACGTCAACCACCTTGATAACCTTGGTCGCCAGGCGGTTGTCGAACATGTCGGAAGCGTTGAGGTCGTTCTTGAAGTCGGCGGAACCAGCGAGGATGAGGCCAGCCACGTTGACCTTGTCGTTGGTGATGAAGTTCTGGACCGCCAGTTCGGCAACCTTGCGGACGTAGTTGTGGCGCTTCTCCTCTCGAAGACGAGCGAAACGCAGAGCGGACTGACCACCACGGCCGTGCTTCTTGGGAAGGTCGACGGAGAACTTGTGGACGATGTCGCGGGTGTTGCCGCTGAGGGTTCCAAAGAGCGCGCCGTTACCGTCCATGATGATGAAACCAAACTTCTGGTCCGACTCGAGCAGCTCCGCAAGAGCCTCGGTGTGGAACTTGTTGTCGCACAGGTACAGCGACGTGTTGATCGGCTTGAACGGCTCGAAGTCGATGTTGACCTTTCGCTCCTTGCCCTCCTGGGTCAAGATTTCACCACAGTAGATGACCAGGCCGTTGGGGGGCACCTTGTTGTAGAGCTTGAGGCGCTGCTGGGTCGAGGTAATGGCGGAGAGGACCGACTGTCGGTTGACACGAGACTTGATGTTGGAGGCCGTACCCTAAAGGGTGCAAGCATTAGCGCACCGCACGGCGTACGGAGTCCGGCGCAATGGCAACACGACTTACATATTCTTCAGCCAACATCTTTGCCGCTCGCGACACCTGATCCTTGGGAGCTGAGGAACGATGTCAGTAAGCGTCATGGGCGGTGGTGGGGCAAAAATGCGCGGGAGCCACGTACGGATAATGAGGGAAATCATGGACGTGCCATTTCCTCTGGCGGCCTCGAGGCGCTTGATGAGCTTCTTGACCTTCCAGATCTCAATCTATCGGCAGACGACGTGTTAGCCAGCCATTGCTTCAGGGGCGCAAGGCCAGAGGCGGCGGGCGGAGGCGGTGCCGTCGTGTCCCCTCGCGAGCGCGGGGCAGCCTCTCTGTGCGGGCGCGACAGGCACGAGACAACGAGGCGGCAATTTTTTTGGGCAGCGGGCGGCGGGCCGTCACTTACGTTCCTCTCGGCCTCGTTCGCTTGAGCGTCGCTCATTTTGACGGCGGTTCGGGGGGGAGGGTCGTTGCGAGCAAAACGTGCAGCTGCGTCCTCGGGTGTCGAGGAGGAGGCGGTGTAAAAACTGATCTGGCGTTGAACGAGGGTGTGCGTTGTGTGCAAGAGAGATTGGGAGGAGGGTAGGGAGAACGCGGCGTGGTGACACACGATGGGCGGCGCTGTGGGATGTTTGTCAGGGCCACCTCAGATTTTTTAAACCACCAGCCGCCCTCCCGCCCGTCCATCCTGTTAGCACTCGCTGCCCGGTGGGTGGTTGGCGCTACAGTGGCCGCGCTGGCTGGTCCGTCTTCAATTGTCTACGGGCGGCGCGAGCCCAATGTGGAGCCCCATGACACAATCAATCAATGCGCTGCTCCAGCGCGGGAAAAGCGAGGGCAGCAGTGGAGGCGCTGTTGTCATTATGGCACCTGGGCACCACGTCCCGCCACCCAAGTCAACTCCCCAGGCATCCTCGGGCGGACCGACCGCCCGCCGCGACCCGCCAGAGCTGCGCGTGTCGTCGAGTCGGGACAACATCGGGCCCCGCCAGCGCCAGCTACAGCCGACAACTACAGCGTATTAGACTGACTGACATCGTCACCACCTACCACCACGCTGCCAGTGAATTTCACCGCCCGGCAAAACGACGGCCACATCCCGACGACGCAGTCCGCGGCAAGCACCCATCGACAGACGCGACTCGACTGCTGAGAGCTCCCCCCGCGCGTTGGCCCGTTCGATGAGATAACGCATGGCCGACGACCTCGCCCAGCAGCACGCCATGTCCTCGTCCCTCCCCGCGGAGCTGGCCGCCACGGTCCAGGCTGCCCACATCCGGACCGACCCGGACCCCAAGCTCGACATCGCCCCGTCTACCGCCGCCGAGAAGAGGGTGCCCGTCGCCCTCGAGAGCTCCCGGTACAGTGACATCGGCGACGACGGCGTCGATGACGAGGACGAGGACGAGATTCCCTACAGTGTGCTTCGCCCGGCGCCGCGGAAACACAACCTCCCGCCTCTGCCCGACTTGCGCTTCGAGCAGAGCTATCTCCACAGCATAGCAAATGCCGACACCTGGTGGAAGGTGATGCTGATCACGATGCGAGATCAGGTAAGGCAGCCTTCTCCCTTTGGCCTCCCCAGTCCCCGCGACTGACGCCGCACAAGGTCGTCATGCCCTTGGCCCAAGGTCTGATATACAACCTCCTCCTCTGTGGCTGGCAACACTGGAATCGCAATGCAAGGCTACACGGCAACACAGTAGGCGCCAGGGTACGAAGGTGGTGGTACGGCGTCAACGACTGGAGAATACCGAATCGGAGGAGCAGGGTCTTATGATCAGCAAACACCTAACTGGTGTCGGGTTGCAACAGTATTGCTCCTCTGTCATGTTATATACGGCGCCATCAACATAATAACCAGCAAGACATGTTGCTAGTGACGCCATGTTCAACACCCACCAGTCGTGTGGACTCAATACGCGATTTCCGCAGTCCCAAGCAGACACCCCCCAGCCGCGGACGCATTTACCCATGCAAAGCCCCGTGTCCCCCGTAAATGACACCTCCAACCCGAGCTCGAAACCGAAACCCTCTATACCGTACGCCGTCGTCCTGAGACCCAACTCCAAAGCCATCATCAGTACCATTACATTTACTCTTGACCCGCCATGTTGACGACCGCAGGCGGCAACGGCTGGGTCTGTGGCTTTTCCGGGCTTCCACGAAACGCCAGGGACGCTGCGGCCATTGAGCCGTTCGTATTGGGGCGCTGCAGCTCGAATCGTTGATCTGAGAGTGGCGGCGTCGCCTGCCTCTCAGCTTCAGCAGGTAGAGGGGAGGCATCCGTGACCTCCTTCACTGTCCCGGCGGCGACCGAGATCGAGTCTTGAACGGGTGACTCCTCCATCCCAACTGCCGGCCCTCTCGGTGTGCTCACGTTACTCTTCCAGTCCTGGGCTTCAGGCGTGGGCAGCATCGCAGTGGCCTGGCCCACTGGAGCCAGGGCGGTTCTCAGCTTTGGCGGTGTGACCGAGAGCTTCACCACCAAGCTTTGCGGATGGTCGTCCAAGTCATCTTCTACCATGGCTTCGTCGTCGTCGAATTCGTCCTCATCCTCCGATTCCTCGGGAACGTGAGCATCCTCCTCGTCATCTCCAAATTCGGCCTCGCTCTCCTCATCATCCGTGCCGGCAGATGGGCGCTGCGACTGGCCCTCGTCCCAGCTATTCATACCGCGTTGTGCTGCGGCGGAGCGTCTGGGTCGTCCCGAAGGTCCCGCAGATGTGTCTCTGTCGGCCTCCGAACCATCGCCATGCACACTTCCCGGGGCGCTGTCACCAGCCACCATGTTCAGTCGCGGCGGAGCCCTAATTTGTCGCCCACTCGATGTAGTCACCGGTCCCGTTTCGGCGGGTGTAGTCGTGCCAGTGTTGCGTGCAGAGCGCCGATAACCAGTGGAATCGGAATACATGTCCTCGTCGTCCGAGTACGTGTACTTGATGCGCTTGCCACGTGTGCGGCCTTCGTATAGCGAGAAGCCGGGCTCTGGCCGCTTAAACTGCTCCTTGCGCATCTGTCGGTACTCCCTGCGCTTGCGTTTCTGTTGCGTTTATTAGCACCATTCTGAAAGCAACCCGATGGAGGAGCGGAAAGGCCCAGGCGATTGGCACGCACCTCTTCCCCTGCTTCAAATCGTGGGATGACCTGAAGGATCTTGTGGCTGAGCTTCCTGGCTTTGGGACCACCATCCTTGGTATCGAGTTTCTCGGCCAAAGCCTTCAGCTCATCGATGCTGCCAGCGACGCTCCACCACGTCCGATTGGTGCCTGCTGGATTGCTCTCGCGGTAGACGCGAAAGTGGGTGTCATCCTGGCCCTCGACAAGGAAGTAGCGGCGCTTGTCGCCGTCTGAGCCCCAGGGTTGCACAGCTCTTGGCTGGTTCAGGTCATCCTCGTGCCGGTTTTGCTTATACGACTGGTTGATGAGGGCCTTGAGGGCGTCGGACGAGGCCATGGCCCAGAGTATCAGGGTTCGCAGTAGGGTGAGCTGAACGGGTATCGCTGTTAGCAAAATAGCCATCAAAGGATACGAGATGCAAGCATACCCTTTCCGTGGGGATCATGGAGTTGAAAGTCGCGTTGCCCGACAACGGGCTCTTGTCTTCCCAAGCCGCGGGCCACTGGTTTCGGTTACCAGCAATCGCGTCTTCTAGAGCTCGCCCGTAATGCCCTGGCCTGCACAGACACGAAACGTTAGCCATGCGGCCCTTCCGTGCCAAACCATCGCGTTGCGTACTTGACATCTTGCTTGCGGTTCAGCAATAAGCCGAGCACCGCGCATAGGAAATGCTCGACGCGGTCGCCAGGTATAGACTCGACAATGTCGCGTTCGAGCTCCTGAGGTCCAAAGTGCGCAAGAGATTTCGGAAAGGCATCGTTGAATCGGTTTCGAAACATGACAATGAACTGCAGGAACAGTGGTGCATCAGCAACTGGGACCCTTTCATGACGTTGACGCGCGAGGTTTCGCGTCGCACTCAAGGGGCGACGCGACAGACCGCGACCGACGCGGCGCATGCAAACGAAGCTTGAAAGGAAGTGCAGTCCAACACGTACCGCAATGTCAGGATTATCTGCGAGCACGTACTCGTGCGGCGGGGACGGGGATCGTTTGCGCGGCGGTGGCGAGGGTTCCTTGGGGGCCTGCTCCGATAGCTTCGGAAAGAACTTTAGGATACCCGACTTGCGGCCCTTGGGCTTCGCCGCGTCGGCGCCCGCGTCCATCTCATCGTCCGAGGGCGCTGGCGACAGGGAGGACAAGGAGGAGAGGTCGGAGGAGTCATCGTCTGCGGCCGCCATGTTGGGTCTGCTGGAGGCTGGAGGCAGTCGCGGTTGTGTGGAGAAGAGGAAGTTAAAGGCGAGGCGAGGCAGTCCCTCGACACGACGCGGAAAGTGCATGCACTAGCCAACCCACGCCTCCCCTTGGCCCTTGGGGAGAGCCGCAAATCAGAGCCGCCCCATTTGACGGCCAGCCCAAACAGAGTCACAGAGGCAATGGCCCTTTGACGGCTCCGCACTCGATTGGATTGCATTCTGGCTCAACAAGGCCCCGTGCTGCCTGCCCATGCCGCCGCCTGCTTTCTACGATGCCATGGTTCCAACCGCACGTGTCTACTACATTCGACGCTGCTCCTATGGGGACTGCACCTAGCGCCTGCTTGACCGCCGCTTACACTTGTGCTCGACGCCGACGCGTGATGCCAGTCAGACAGGCAGGGTTGGGGGACAGCCTTTGTTTGCAACACGCCAGTCCCTTGCCCATTCCTGTCTCGGGCCTCCAATAGTGCCTTGCTTCCCGCCATTGCGCCCCCAAGCAACATCCAGCGTCAGAACAGTGATCCCACACAGCGTGAAGCTGTCGTCAATGAATCAGACCGCGACGAGGGCTGCAACTGGCAAACGCGGACAAAATGCGCCTTCCACCCATCGGAGGCTTTGGGTCCACGGTGCAGGCCATGCCTCTCTCGAGCATGTCTCGGGCTAAGCAATGGCGAAATGGCATCATTCGCCTTTGTTGGATGCAGCGAAACGGCCGATGCTTGAGCTACCTTGCCTTGGCACCCGAGGCTTTAAGGCGAAACAGTGGGCATTCGTCCGTTCGCCGATCGAGCCAACCCGCCTTCGGAGGTTTGAGCATTGCGAATCTCCATCTACCTTGGCTGGTGGTGAGGGGCGACGTTGGTCTTGGGTTGCAGCGTCGCGTTTGACTCCGAGCTCGCAAATGAGTTTTCTGGATCGTCGCTTGCAATGCAGAGCCGCCAGGCGCCTCCCAATCCCGAGGTTGCGAACTTGTGCAGCGGTCCTCATAGAATATTAGTTAGCAAATTGAACAGACTATCAAACGGGAACGAGCTCGACTCATAAAACAGATTCCCAGAGCACCACTCAAGCGGTTGGCAAAGCGTTGCCCTTTCTCTGCACCTGTCTGTCGATGGCCCCTTCAGATGAAAGCGCCTCGTGGACAAGCAAGCTCGTAAGAGCCTGTCGCCTAAGAGGCACGGTGGGCGAGCTTGGTAGCGCAGGCAAATGCAAGTCCAGTTCGACAGGCGCAATGATAGCCTTATAATGGATTCCCGGCGAATTTGAAGGTTCCGGGGCAGTTGGGCCTGACATTCACATGGGCTCCTCATGATGCGCTTGTGCTGAGGCTGACATGGCCGGGACATCCATGATCAATCGCATGTGTCCCAACGTACCACTCGCCATCATCCCCGTCCGCTCGACAATCGCACGCTGCGTACTGCGACTGATCCAAGGATTCGCCTGATAGAAGGATAAATCATTTTGCACGCTCAGCTGCATCAACCCGTACCCAGAAAGGGGATTGTGGCGCAAGCAGAGAGCTCGACAGAGGTATGCATGCCCTCCCGGGCGTGTCAGAGCGTCGTGACATGGCCAAAGGCATGTCTCGCGTTGAGGCAGTCCCGCGCGAAGCAAGCGGACGGTCGGCGCGTCGCGGCGGGGAGGAGCCGAGATGTTCGCGTAAAGAGAGTGAGTGGCCAAGCCTCACGCACAACAGTGGGACAGACCCACCATTAGGCTCGGACGAGATGATTGGCCACTATCTTTCGCTTCCCCAAGGCCAGAAATTCCACAGGCCGGTCACGTGGTCAGGGCTCCTCCACCGGGCAAGTCGGGCCCGCACACAAAAAATTGTCAGCATTCGCATGCAAGGCCTCACCCCGTCAAAACACCAAGCGGCCGGGAGACAGGTAAATTCACCACACCTCACGCCCTCGCGGCTCGACTCTACTAACAACAATCCTCCAGCAGCAACTCGAACGTCGAGTCAACACCAGCCGCCATGGGTAGAGTCATTCGCAACCAGCGCAAGGGCCGTGGATCCATCTTCAGTCAGTCACCAACCGAACCTCCAAGTCGAAGTTTGCCTCGACGATGTCCGCCATTCAATACTGACTCTTGACGACAGCGGCCAACACGCGCCTCAACAAGGCTCCGGCCAAGTTCCGCAACCTCGACTACTCCGAGCGCCATGGCTACATCCGTGGTGTAGTCCGCGACATCATCCACGACCCTGGTTAGTTGCGTCCATTCGACGGGATCGAGAAGCACGGGCATGGTCTTGGGAATTGAGGCTGACAGTGGATTGTTTTTCGCCTGCAGGTCGTGGTGCCCCCCTCGCCAAGGTCGTCTTCCGCCACCCCTACCGGTTCAAGCAGGTCCACGAGACGTTCATCGCCAACGAGGGAATGTACACCGGCCAATTTATTTATGCCGGCAAGAAGGCTGCCCTGACCGTCGGCAACGTCCTCCCCCTGGGTGAGATGCCCGAGGGTACCGTCGTTTCCAACGTCGAGGAGAAGATTGGCGACCGTGGCACCCTGGGCCGCACCTCCGGTGGCTACATCACCGTCGTCGGCCACAACCCCGACGAGGGCAAGACCCGCATCAAGCTCCCCTCTGGTGCCAAGAAGGTCGTCAGCTCCGGCTCGCGAGGAATGATCGGCATTGTTGCCGGTGGTGGCCGTACCGACAAGCCTCTCCTGAGTATGTGTCGCCCGTGGAAGGACATGCTGAATGACAATGTGCTAACCCATCCGTGCAGAGGCTTCTCGCGCCAAGCACAAGTTCGCTGTCAAGCGCAACAGCTGGCCCAAGACTCGCGGTGTTGCCATGAACCCTGTCGACCATCCTCACGGTGGTGTAAGTAGACCCGGGAGACGCTTAGCTTGTCGTGAACGCTCAGATGCTGACTGCTCCAACAGGGTAACCACCAGCATATCGGTAAGGCCTCGACCATCTCCCGATACGCCGCCCAGGGACAGAAGGCCGGTCTCATTGCCGCCAGAAGGACGGGTCTGCTGCGCGGTACTCAGAAGACGAAGGAGTAAGGGGCTGTGGTTGGTGGTCTCATTGGGATGGTGTTACAGAGGCTTGCTTGCATCTATTGATGGTACTGCTGCGAGAAGGAATCTGGTAGCTCAGAAGCAAGTACTATGGCATTTGGCGTACACAAAAGATTACGTATCGGTCCAGTGGATGTTGTCTGCGCAACGACGCGAGTGAGGAAAGTTTTGCCCGCCATATCGGCGTACGAAGTACATGCTACGTATGTGGCCCTGTGGCAACGCTGCCACGCACTCTAGCCCACTGTACCTGTGGACGAGGCCAAGATGTCCGGCGACAGAGCGCGGACAATGGACAGTGAGCCCTCCACTACGCCCAGGCAGTATCGTAGCGGCATGAATCCTGGGTACAGCTGGGTCGGACGACGCCGGACGCAGCGACCCGAGAGCCATGGATGAAGGGACTAAAAAATGCTCCAGGCAGGCTCATAATCTGCCGTCTCTTATTTTCTCCGAGCCCGCCACTTTCACAGCGCGGTTCCTTGTGAGTCCCCGGATCGACAAAAAGAGTGAGCTTTCCGCCGCCGGTCTCCGTTGTGCCGGCCCACACAGGTACTCGTCAGGGTACGTACCAACCCTCCTCCCAAACCTGGAAGCCTCCTTTAAACCCCGCCAAACACCAGCCCGTCCCGTTGCCTTGCTCCTCCCAGGACCCCGCCATCCCTCCTCCAAATTCTTTCGTCAATCCTACCCGCGACAATTCCCGCCCTCTTTTGAATTTGTCTCCCTCTTGTTTTATTATATTTTCTGCTTTTGGGATACTTCAACCATGGCCCCTGTCAAGGAATTCGGTCTTCTCTGCCTGGAGAACCCTCTGCTTGGTACGCATTAAGCCCTCCTGTCGTCGCTCTAATGCCGGGCCAAGTCCTGCGGCCATGCTTGTCTTACTGTCCCGCTTGCTTACCGGTAGCACCCCAATTGCAGATATCCAGGCTGTCGGCGATGAGGCTCTCCTGAACAAGTATGGCCTCAAGGCCAACGACGCCATTCTCGCCGAGGAGAAGCACATCCCGCTGTACGAGGAGCTGCTGAACAACTACGACGCCAAGCTCATTGCCGGTGGCGCTGCGCAGAACACGGCTCGTGGTGCCCAGTACATCCTCCCTCCCAACAGCGTCGTCTACCTGGGCGGCGCCGGCGACGACAAGTACTCGGCCATCCTGCACGATGCCGTCAAGGCCGCTGGCCTGCGCGTCGAGTACCGCGTCGACCCCAAGGAGAAGACGGGCCGCTGCGGCGTCATCATCACTGGCCACAACCGCAGTCTGTGCACGGACCTGGGCGCCGCCAACCACTACGACATCGACCACCTGAAGAAGCCCGAGATCTGGCAGCTCGTTGAGAACGCCGAGGTCTACTATGTCGGCGGCTTCCACTTCACTGGTGAGACTGACCTGGCGCCCGCCATTGCGTGCTTGAACACCTTGCTGACAACATGAAATAGTCTGCCCTCCTGCCATCATGGAGCTTGCCAAGCAGGCTGCGCAGCGCAACAAGCCCTTCGTGCTGTCGCTGTCCGCGCCCTTCATCCCTCAGTTCTTCAAGGACCCCGTCGATGCCAGCGCCCCTTACTGGGACTACATCATCGGCAACGAGACCGAGGCCGCGGCCTACGCCGAGTCCCACAACCTGCCTTCCAAGGAGCCCAAGGACGTCGTCGTCCACCTTGCCAACCTGCCCAAGGAGAACAAGCAGCGCAAGCGTGTTGCCATTGTCACGCAAGGCACCGAGCCCACTCTTGTCGCCATCCAGGGCGAGGAGGGCATCAAGGAGTTCCCTGTCCACGCCATCGAGAAGGAGAAGATCAACGACACCAACGGCGCTGGCGATGCGTTCGCCGGTGGCTTCTTGGCCGGCCTCCTCGAGGGCAAGCCCCTTGAGACGTCCATCGACATGGGCCAGTGGCTCGCCAGACTCAGCATCCAGGAGCTCGGACCTTCGTAAGTCACCTCGCCCTGCAATCATGCTTGTCATTCTTATACTGTATCTCGTCGGCATACACAACGAAACTCCTCTCGCCATCCCCCTCCCTCTCCCACTCTGCGATGCACCCGTACTAACTCGTGGCCTCCAGCTATCCCTTCCCCAAGCAGGCCTACCAGGCCTCCTCGTGAGCACCACCCCTGGTTAAAAGGGGCTTGGCATGTTAGAAACGACTGTGCGGTTCGGCGTTGAGGGCTAAATGGGGAAAACAGTTTCAACAACGGCGTTTGCATCTGTGATGCTGGAGCCCAGGGACGTTGCGGTTCTCTTCGCATAGCGACTCGGTATCCTCCACGATCCGACTTATTTGAACTTGAAAGATATGAATATAGACAACTGTCCGGCACTCTGGCCGTGTCCTTGATGCCAATCCTGCTGGCCAAGATATCTGATGACGCTGCGCTTAGTCAACTTCTATTGACGTATGTTGCGTGCTGTGGCATTTGCTGTGAACCCCGTCATGCAGTCGCCATGTGGACTCTTTGGTGGCAACACAAAGAGCTGCCCCCATTATACGAGTAGGAAAGCCACCACTTCCCCTTGAGCAGTCCTCGTCTTGGGAGGACATGTCGCTCAGGCCGTCAGCCATATGCAGTCCATGAGCTGCAGCGGCGCTTATCCGGGCGTAAACTCGAGGAAGGCTTGGAGCAACGTGTTGCTTCCAGAGGCAAACACGCCAGAGGAATTGACGCGGCGCAGAGCCCGTCCACCACTGGCTCCTCGCCACCGCTGCCCCCGATTTTACATCAGTGGGCTCTGTTGCGCCTCTGCCCCGGCCGCTCACTTCCCCCAAGGCGCGCGGCGGCCACCTTCGTCGAAGCGCGAAGTCGGTTCACCCGTCTGGCCACGAGCCCCGCGCGAAGCGCCGCCTGCCCTGTAGGGCGACGGGCCCTGGAACTGGTCCCGGACGTTCCCGTTGGCGGGCGTGCCCTGGTATAGGCTGCTCGGGTGCGAAAAGTAGCTCGCCATGGAGGATGAGGGAGGCGCGTTCGCGGAAGGGAGTTCTGTCCATCTTGGAGGCGGTTGGGGAGACCGCACAGCGTGGCCGGCAGCTTGCGCGGGGGCATGGCCTGAGAGAGATTGCAGCAGGCGCTCTCTGTGGGCAGCATCAGCTGGCGAGGCGAAAGAGCCGCCCACGTTGGCTTGTCGCGGGACCTCGGAAGCGAATAGTGAGGGCGGTGCAGTTGGTGCTGCATAGCCCCCAGGGCTGCGATTCGCGAACGCGTTGTCCGCAGGAGACCTGGGTGGCATTGTTCCCACTGACTGGATTTCACCGCTTGCACGCTTGTATGCCTCGGCGACAGCAGGAACTGGCTTCGGCATGTCGTCCCAAGCCCACGGGTAGGGCGCGAGGGCGCCCGGGCCGTCGAAGGAGTTTGGCCTCGAAGGCGTCGGAGCGGAGCCGAAGACGTCGTTGGCGGTATCAGTATGCATGCCGTACGAAGACGACGAGGAGCGGTTCTGCCCACGGTCGTCCTTCTGGGGCGTGGGCGGTCCGAGAAACGGGCTGAGCATCGCCATCACTGTCCTCTCGGTCTGGGCCTCGATCGCGGAGCCAACTGGCGGCGATGGTGTGTTTCGCTCAATCATCTGGTCTGTCCACGTTGGAGGAGCTGGCAGCTGCTGAGCAGACGCGCCGCTCGCCTGAGCTCCGGAGCCGGGCGAAGGTTGACCTATGTTACGGTCCGCTGGTGCTGTCGTGGCGCTCGACTGGTATTCGAAGACCAGTGAATCCTGAACGACGTTGCAGGAAAGGGGTGTGGCCGTGTCTTCGGCCATAAAATAAGCGCAACGAAGGACATCTAATATGCGTGCCAAATTCTCATGGAGGCCGTCTAGACGCTGCTCTGGATCTTGGATATACGACTTGTGTGTGACGCCATCGACGCTGTAGACACGGCAGTCCGCGGGAACAGAATCTCCTGTCAAGGAAGGCACGCCACGGATTTCAAGATCCTCGGGCAGCAAGTACGGAGCCGACGCCAGGTCTTTCCGCGTGTACGATACAACGCAGAGCTGTGTGAACACCTGAGCTAAAATCTGCATCATGGCCTGAATGGCTGGTCCAGTGGCGACGCCAGGGCCAAAGAGCTCGCGACGCTGAGACGCGATCCAGACGCAGTAGATTCGCAGAATCGGTAGCAGGGTTTCGACGACGGATACGATCTCCACGTGGCCGCAGTCGGAAGCACTGTGATCTCTGTCGGAGATCGCCTCTCGCAGTGTCGTTTCGAGGGCACGGCAAACTCTCGACAAGAACTGTGCGTTGAATCTCAGCGAGAACTGGCTGAATCGCAAGGCCGCTTCTGTCTTGTTTTCTGTTTTGGCGGTCAGAAGAGGTGTCGTGAAACGAGAGGGAGTGAACGCACCGGCATAATTTGCGCACGCAACATCATGCGCGCAGATGTTGACCAGCGCCATCTTCAGGAGGGTGCCTGAGTTGGCCGCATCTCGGCACGCCATATCTAGCCGGTGCATGACTTCATGCTCAAGCTCTTCATGCTGTGGAAAGCGCTCGCCTTGGTAGAAGAAGGCGTGAAGCTTGACAAACCAGGAGCTGAAGACATCCTGGGGGGTTGAGGGGCTCCGTCGGCCCTTGTCGTGTTTTGGCTTACGGAGGGTCTTGAACTCGTTCTCCAAGTTCGCCTTTGCATTGGGGTGAGGAACCTCTGAGACACGGGAGCGATAGAAGTTGTACACCACGTCGAGGTGATTCCCGCAGTCGAGGTTCACAATGCCAATCTGGTGGAGGGCAAAGCCCGATCGAGGCATGATATGCCGGGCCAGATTGTAGTACGTCAACGCCATGTCGTAGCCGGAGCTCCCCCGTTTCGCCTGTATACGGTAGCGTGCCAGGTCGCCCAAGTGCAACAATGTTGAATGACAGGACTGGAGCACAAGATGGCTCATATCATCGGTAAGCTGGCTGATGCGGTCGCCGGAGTCCATCGGGGCGGCATTGACTCCTTGCGCGGCGCGTCGCAGTTCCGGAATGTCGAAGCGGGCGGCAAGGCGCTGGATGTATCCAATGTAGAACTTCTGGGCGATACGCAGAAAGTTGTGGTACATCTTCTCGACTTTGCGGCGCTCGACAGCCTGCGCAGGATTCTTGGGGCGCTTGAGGACCCTTCGATACTCGGCATTGATGGCGATGTGGGTGTCCCAGAGGACCTCCTCGACGCCCTCGGTGTTTGCAAACTTGAAATCGAGGAATATCGTCGTGGCGCAGGCAAGTCGGAGTCTATCCGGCGTTAACGAGCAGGCCTCCTCCATATTGTCCCGGCGCAGACTCACTTCTCTAAGATGCCGTCGATTGCCTCGAACTTGGAGTCTTCTGCCTCGGAGGCATTCTCCGTGTTAATCTTCTCGAGTCGCCTCTGTATACTCTTGCGGATCTTCTGCGCGTGCCTGGTAGCGAAAGGTCAGCATTGCGGGAGCGGCGCAAAACGAGGTGGTCGCCGGGCCGCGCGCAGCAGGGCGCATTGCGCGGAGCGCACTCGAACTTACCCCCAGAGCTGGGAAGTCGAGGGCTCTACGGTGGCCATGGCGACGTTACGCGACCGTCGCCGTTCGCTAGCGAGAAGCGAGGGCAGTGGTGGAAGTAAGTGGTGGTTCGAGCGGAGCTCGGCGCACGATGCGCGGGGGAGGGATCCCGTGGTAGCAAGAGCGTCTCGTCGGGCTACAGTATCAACTCATACTCTCGAGTGCGCAGAATGCTCCGGGTCAGACGACCCATATCCTGGCTTGTCGGCGGATGGGAACGATGCGCAGAGGAGTCGGCTCGCGAGAATCGAGGGCTTGGGCCGACAGGGGACTCATTGGGGGAGATTTCGACGGGCCGACCCAGGGGTGGGCGAGATGAGAACTAAGGTTTTGTGCGCCAGAGGAACAAGAAGTCTGACCAGACAAACGGGTTTGTGAAGAGCTGCAAGGGCACAGTCAAAGAGGGACGAGCTGGCGGCCAGCGGCGGCGGCGGGCGGAGCGGTGGCTAAGGCGGGTGATGATGATGGGACAATGGGCATGGCTGCAGGTAAAGGTTAGGTAGGTTAGGTTAGGTGTGATGCCCCGTTGGGAGTGGCGGGCCAGGCCTTCACGCAGGTACGTGCGCCGCCAACAAGTGACCGCTGCAGCGACTTTGTTAGTGGCCGGAAGAGTCAGAAATGGCGTTTCTTCGGCAATTCCTACCTAAGGCAGGGCGCCCGCGCCAGGAACTGGTGGAGCGGCGCCCGCCCGTGGAAACCCTCCATCCTCCACTGGCGGGGTCCCGCCGGCCGGTGAGATCCCACTAACACAGCTTGACAGCAACTTCACGTATGGTACTGGAGCAGTCCAACAAGAGGCACCCGCGCTCTCACTTCTCCCTTCTACACGCTGTGATCCGCCGTGGGCACACCTCTGCTTCATCGCCCAGTCCTCGTCGGAAAATCATACAGTCTCGTCCCAATCAACCACCTTCCGGCTCCTCGTCGCTCGCTACGCATGCTCAAGGCGTCACCGCCTCCCACGGCACGGCAGGTCACTGACAGAGGGACAGACAGTCGGCTGAGTGTATGATCTTCCTGCCCCATCATCCCTCGAGCTCGAGGATGAAGCGCTCACGAGAGCCGGAAGAAGAAGACGACGACGAGGAACAAGCGCAAGGCCCTGATCCCCGCGTCACCCAGCGGAAGGCCACGACGCCACTGTCCATGCCCGGCTCGCCGCAACGGCCACCATCCAAAATCCCGGAGCTTGACACAGCCATAGACGATACTCAAGACGACTCATGCACAATGAGATGCTCCTTGCCACCTCACAAGTCTCCCATTAGCTTCAGCTCCTACGGAGACTATGAGACGCACTACCACCAGTTTCACACGAACCGGTGTCTAGAGTGCAGCAAAAACTTTCCGTCCGACCACCTCCTCGGCGTCCACATTGAGGAATGGCACGATCCCCTCGTCAAGGTCCGCAGAGACAAGGGAGAACACACTGTGAGCCTGACCTCCTGCCGAGTACTTTTCCCCCGGTGTCGGTTCTCTAACTCCCATCGCGCAGTACTCTTGCTTCGTTGAGGGCTGTGACCGGAAATGCCTGACACACCAGAAGCGGAGAATGCACATGATTGACAAGCATATGTACCCGAAGAACTTCTTCTTCTCCGTCACCAAAGACGGCATTGATGGGAGGCGGAGCCTGCTGGTCGACCACGGCCATCACCGACGAAGGTCCTCCGCGAGCGTCCAGTCCAAGGAGACGCGCCGTCGTGCTAGCACCTTGGAAGAACCCCAGGCAGGGACCGGCCCAGAACGCAGCCCCGCTGTCGGTGTGGAAGAGGGCTCGACAAAGAACCCCAAGGAGACGCAGGATGCAGATATGGCCGACCTTACGGGCGCCATGTCCGCGTTGCAATTCGTGCCACCCAGCGTCCGCTTCGGCCGCGGTCGCGCGGGCTTTGCCAAAAGATAGAGCATCAGATGCACGCGATGATGATCAGCACGAGTTATGATGTCATGATGCATGGCCAAATAAAAGGTTTTCGACTTCTGAGACTTTGACCGTTCGTGTTGTTCTGAAGTCATGGTGCCTGCCCGCTTAAACATGAATGCCGTGTCGTCCCAAACGCCTCTGTGCGTAATTGCGCCCCCAACGCCCCGATGCCTGTCCCGATAAAGCTCTTGATCGATCTATTTTCATTCGTCTCGTCTAGTCGCTCGATGCGCAGCCACGGCAGCCACAGCTGACACACTGGACGTCCTGGTTGTCCTTCAAATCGGCTTTCGGGACGCGACATATGCATGTGCTGTTGAAGTTGGTTTCCTTGGTCTGAACGCAGCGGAGACAGCAGAGCTATTTGCGAATGTCAGCATATTATACCATGACAACGAAGCGGGAGTTGCCGTGCTTACATTCTCGTATCCCGTCTTTTTCCACTTGGCGATGAGCATCGCGTCTGCGTAGCCGTTCTTGAGCAACCACTCGTACAGCTGCTTGCTGATGGCCTCCTTCTCGTAGTACAGGTCGTAGACGTAGCGGCTCCTCTGGTGGGATATCTGGAAAATCTCCCACTGCGCCTGGTACTTGGGCCCCGTGGGCGGCGGCTTGTTTTGCGCGTCCTTCATCTTGTTGGCGAAGATGAGCAGGTCATTCTCGATGTCGCTGAAGCCTTCGGGCGGGGGCTTGCGCTTCGAGGCGTGCCTTATGGCGGGCATCTTGTTGGGCTTCTTGTGAAGTTGGTGGTGGTGCGCACAGCGGGTCGTGCTGGACGTTTGGCCGCAGAGTCGTCAGGTCGTCAAGTGATGGTCGAGGCAAGGCTGGAGCTTCGAGGTTTGGAAATCCACCTTCAGCCGCGTCGTCGAGGGGCAAAAGGCCTGTGGCGTTGCTGGGTGGCGGTGCGCGCCTGCGCGTCACGTGATATGTTCGGAGAGCGACTGGGGCCCTCGCGATTCAACTTCGCTCCAATTCAACGTCACGGCCGAGAGCCTTCCCGCAGCCATTGACAACGCATTGATCGCCCACCATGGCCATCACGCCGACGCAGTTCGCCAAGAAGACGGCGCAATGTGGGTATCAGTCGGGCTGACAGTTCGTGCATCGGCTAACAGCTCGGATACAGCGGCCAGCTGGGCGGATGCGAAGCGCCGAGTCCTCTCCTCCTACCGCGAATGGATGCGAGCCGTACGTCCCCGACAAGCCACGCCTGCCTGGATCAATCGCCCTCGAGGCATATTGGTCCGGTGCGTTACTCTGCCTGCGCGCGGGAGCTAACGAGCCTCCAGGCACCCGAGATCCAGACCATGTACAACATCCCGCTGCCCATCTCTGCCCTCCGCACCCGGGTAAGGCAAGAGTTTGAGCAGAACCGATTCGTCGCGAAGCTCCCAGTCGTCGATGTGCTTCTTTTCAAGTCGCACGCAGAATACCAGGTGCGGACAAAATGGCACCGAAATCGGGGGGGCAACCCCGGTTCCCGCTGGGACGGACGCTGATTGTGCGGCAATAGGAGACGATGAACTTCTGGAAGCAGACGACGCACGTCATGTCCTACTTCAAGGAGGAGAACTTCAGGGGCGATCACAGACGGCCATCGAACTTTATGCAGGGGTTCCTGGAGGTAGGTTGACGACACAATGATACCCGACATTGTCTATTCTGACACTGACTAACGCACTATCGCTTCCAGGGTCGGAATTAGAGAGAGCGCGGCAGCGACCGTGTGTATATATTGCAAAAGACCCAATTTTCGTTCCACGAGGAAACAGCCCGCAAAACGCCCCAGAATACCGTGATGCCTGTTGATGAAAATGCTTGACTGTAAACGCAGCGTGACTCCCGCGGACCCCTGGCGGAACCCCGTCACCTCGAGATGCCGTTCTCGGCGTTGAACGCTTCCCTCTTGGTCCAGAACTCGTCCGCCACGACGTCGCATACGTCCTGCAGGTCCACCAGTCCCTTTTTCAGTGCGTCGACGGCAGTGCCCTCTGTACGGGTGCGTCAGCGTCGGCTCGTACTCCACGGGGCAGACTAACGCCCGCATGTCTGGTCAAGAGTCCTTACCGTATGTTTGGATTCTGATGTTCATCTTTGGCTCAGAGGGATGTGGGATCGCGTAGGCGCAAAACTCAACATCCGGGCTTCGTGGCTGTTAGCACCTGACCGAGTGTACCGCTCAAATGAGCCGCGGGGAGCGCTGGGCGCCTTACTTCTTCATAATGACATATCTCAGGGCGTTGCCGAGAGTGTGTCCCTCGTCAGTAAACTCAAACGAGGCGGCGGTGTCCGTCGACCCGGGCAGCTGCGCGAGACATGTCAGTCACTCTTCCAACACCACACTTGGTATGAGCTTGTCGAAACCGGGGACATACGATCTTCACCCGCTGGGCCTCCACCTCCTCCTCTTCTTCATCCTCGTCCTCCTGCGCGTCGCCGTCCATGGCAGCGTCTGGTGTCTCCTCGGGCTGCGCAGATGGAGGGGCGTCTTGCATGCTGGCGTCCTGGGAGGAAGCCTCCTCCGGCTTCTTTGTCCTGCCCGGCATGGCGTTTGTGCAGGCTGTGTGAGAGATTTCTGGTGGTTTCTGAGCGTCCGTGTTGGCCCTGGTGTCTGCGTGTCTTCGCACTTGTCCTGCGATGGCGCCAGAGATGGTCTAGATGTGTTCGTCGTGTCTTGCGACAGTTGGGCTCGCGGGTCACTGACTGCATGACCTCGAATCCAAAAAATTCACGTCGAAGTCGGCTTAGGTGGGGCCTTCGGCCTCGCCCTACGGGGGGGTGGGGATAGGCCGTCGTGGTTCCAGCCGTATAGGCAGCATTAGGCTCGGAAAATACTGTTCTCTGATTGCCCGGGTAGCTCAATGGCTAGAGCGTGCGGCTTTTAACCGCAAGGTTGGGGGTTCGAGACCCCCCTCGGGCGTAATGTGACGCCTCGATTCATTTTTGCTGGACGTTGCGGCTGGTATTCCGCGGGACGGATCACCCTCCCTCGTAATAAAGGGCATCTATCTTCTTTTTTGGCCTTGGTTCTCACATGCTGCGAACCCCTCTGCCATCATACTGCATTTGGTAGGTCGAGCAGATTCGTCGGGTTTTTGCTGTGGTGACTTGCTCATGGCAGGTGGGCAAGATCCCGTCGTATGTAAAACAAGCCAGCGATCAAGTACTGTGACGGGCCACTCTCGACATGTGATCAGGGCACCTCCACGAATTCGCCCGAATTGTCATCTCACGACGCGCGGGGCGCTGCAATGCGGGCTGGGAAATTACAACACGAATACACATGCCGGTGTTACACATGGGTATGCTAACAACCGGATGACGACCTGACACGTTGATCAAGCAGGTGGCTGCAGGGTAGGATCTCAATATCATGCCGCGTGTAGGCCAACGGCGGTGCTCGATGATCACCAGGGTCAGTCACTTGCAGGGTCACCTGCAAGAGGCGGAGCGCGAGGCTACGAGGCCCTCTGGTTCAGACGAGGGACTTACACAGTGGTCGTCTGAGTTGCCCCGAGGGGAGCCGGAGCAAGGGGTGAGGGCCAAGTAAACCGGTGCGGCCACCGCAGGTATGCGGCAAGGCTGCATGCAGGCGGAACAGACAGACAAGTGCGTAGGCAACTGGGTGATGAGAGATTCATCAATCATACTGGCCAGGGGACGCAACCCGACGGCGCGGAAAGTGACCACGGCGTGACGCCCTGTACGATAATACCTGCATGCACAGCACCGTGGGCGGGCTCGCTCCGGTGATTCGCACTCGGACGGGCTGCTGGGCTCCTGCGTGCTTCGTACATACAGCAACCGTGCAGGTTTGCTGTACATTACAGTAGTTGCCGTACAGCGCAGTACGACGTGGGCGATGCGAACGTGACGTCGCGTGCGTCTGCGGCGACGATGGCGGCGGCGACTGGACTGCATCGAGTCTTGACCACCTGCTGGCAAGTGTGAAAGCGCCCCGGCGCGATGCTGTGCGCTCCCGGCCGCGACGGACACGCCTCCGCTGCCCGTCGGCGACTTTAAACAAAGAGCCCCCCTGGCCCGGGCGCTCTGCAGGTCATCCAATGAGCAGGCTGTCGGAACCCGTCCCTTGAAACGCCACCAGGCCGGTCGGTTTTGGAGGAGGCTTTCCCCAAAGGCCCCCTCCCCGTTCCCGCCGCTGGTCGTCGAGCCAGGAGCAGTAGCGAGCCAGGAGCAGCAAAAGCTCCATTTCGAGGGGGCGCCCGCTTGGGGGTTGGCGTCATCCCGGGGCAAACAACCCCACCACTTCAGCGGCAACCTGAGACGACGACAAGTCTCAGGTGGCCGCCCACCCCCTGGGGAGGGGGACCTTGCCGGGCGGCGTGTGCCAGCGTGGTGGTGGTGCTGGTGGTGGCTTGGGAGGAAAACGGCGTCAACGGTCTTCATTCATTCATCCTCGACCCTTCTTTTCTCGGACGAGGGGCGCCCGAATGACAAAACCTCGAGGCTGGACCCGCAGGCAGAGAGCAGAATCGTGAACCACGAAAAGAGGTTACTGGCACTGTGATACTCCTGGTACCAAGCCCGTGGCGGCGCACGGTCGTCCCTCGCTCGCAACGGGCGCGTGCTCGGTACTTGCTTTCTCGACCCCCGATTCGTGGGACCGCGTCCGCAAGCCTTCCGACCGAAGAACCTGTGGGACTTGGCGATGCCTCCGAACGAATCTCCGCAGGAAACTTGGTCGACCCGACAAGTCCCCAACTCAGCCCAGGGCCGGGCGCCGCGGCGGCGGCGGCGACATCGCCGTAGGAAGAAGTTGCGAGCCTTGTCGTCCTGATTCGACGGGCCGGAAATCAGGATGTTCAGAGCATCAACCGCCACCCCGGCAGGGTCGCGGACACAGGCGCGATGGCGGGCAAATCGTCTGGGCCAGCCGGGCTGCTGGGTGGGTGCGTTCCGCCCACTTGCCGCCCTAGTACTGCAGACGAACGGTGAGGCTTGACAACGGCACCACTCGGTGGAATCGACGGCGCGACGTGACGGACGGGGGCATGAATTCCGAAGCAGAGCAGTCAGCGCCTTGCGACTTGCTGCGCGGCAACAGGGAGCATGCTCTGCGTGTCTGGCATGATCGAGGCCTCGCGTTTTTTTTCGAAAGACTACTTCCATCCAGGCGCTGCCCGGTTGCGGGAATTTTCAACATGAAACCAAGAGGCTCACGCTGCCGAGGCGGCCAGAACAAAGAAGCTTCACCGCTCACAGAGTGGGCGAGGGCCAGAAAGAGAGGAAATTCGTCCCAAGGTGAGCCAAGGACTTATTGCGTCCTGTGCGGACACAGTGCCGGACAATATGAGCATGCGTGCCCACTGATGAGCATGACCAGGGCTAGGAGCATTACCGAATCTTCGACAGGGGGGTTCCGCGGCAGGGTCTGTCAGTGGGGGCGGTGATGATGATGATTGATGGTGTCTGCGGCAGGGCTGCTTCAACAGCTGCCGTAACTACTACAGCGTTCAACCTGGTATGCATGGACTGCTTATTTTGGCAGCAATGTCTCGACATGGCATTCGTAACAGCGGGCTCTGAAGGACCACGGGGTCCCATTCACGCGATGCTTCGAGGAGGTCGGACACCTCGGTGCTGGGACCAGGGGTCGTGCGTCCATGTACGAGCATGCAAGCATACAGTACAACAAAGAAGGTTGCTGCGGGCAATGCACCACCCGAATGGGCGGCTTGCGCTGGGCGTCGCACAGATCCGAGGTCACAAGGGCTTTATATGCGGATGCGGCAGGTAGGACAGAGATGCAGCAACAATAAGCTGGCTCTGTGCGGCTACTCGCCTTGAGTAGTATGTATCAAGTGCGCGTGATGTCCTGTGTGGTCTGGCAGCGGTTGGATGGAATAGACCATGCGTGGAGACGCCTCGTTTCCAGACCATGACGACCCGTGGTATCGTGGTTGGACGTCTCGTCAAGGTCCTGGTAACGTGGTCCGACAATATCAGCTGTAAACCGCCTCTTGTCGCATCGTAACAACACTGCCATATTACCGTGGCGGTGAATGGGCCGTCTAACCGCGGCTTCTCGAAATTCAGGCACTGGAAGAATGCATCCAGCGTGTCAAGTGGTACTGTCGTCAGAGGTGGCAAGGCAAGGAGGACGTTAGACTGGCAGGCATCTGGGCAGCGTCGACATCGCCCAGGTTGCGCCCTGGGTGCCGCCGAAACGACGAGCGCATCACCGGGGCCGGGTGTGGTGACGGTGGTGCAACTCGTGGCTTAAATGGGCCGAGATAGTTGGGGGGAGACCGGCTCCGTGCGTGCACCGCGGGCGAGGCTGTGGCTTTCCGATGCTCGTGAGCAACCGACTCCATCATGGGCGGCTGGTGGACTGGACTTGCGCTTGTGCAACCGCTGCCGCGCGTTGGCATATCACACGCGCGCTCCGTGTCTCTCGCTGCCCGTGGGCACAGGCATCCGGGAGCGGGCGACGGGCGACCGAGACGGCACGAGGTCAGATAAATCGGCGAAACGGGCCCTGTCGTTCTGGAACACGTCGGAACGCGGCGAACGAGCGCCAAAAACGTTTCTTCTGTGTGCGTGCTTGCTTGCGTGCGTGGCAGGGGGCTGGAAACGAGGCGGTGCGCCCTTTTGCGGGCATGAACGGATTGCCGATTCTTCACCTCCACTTTGACGGTCCACGATGACAACCTTGCGCACGAAAGTACGAGTACTTTGTGCTGTGGATGAGTGGTACGGCACGAGAGGATGTGAACCCTCTCAGGTGAAGCTTCGCCCCTCCGAGGTACTGTGCTCGTCGTACTGTGCAGTGCCGGTGTCAGGTAAGTAAACCAACCGCCGACCTAATAATGGGTAAATAGGCCACCGGCAGTGGAACGGGAGGAGCCCACCGCAGAGGGCTGACATCCATGTGCGGGATCACCGCCGGCCGAGAGATCGTCTTCATCGCCAACTGGACGAGTTGACGATGAGCTGAATGCCCTCCCGAACGCGGACAAAAGGCCGTGCAGCAATGGCAAGCTGGGCGGCAAGGTTGATAGGGCCCAAGGCTTCGTCGGGGACCTCGTCGCGCGCCACCATTGGTCGTCGGCGACGACTCGAAAGAGCACATCTTGTCTCAAAGGTGCAACGGGTGGGAAAAAAAGGGCTTGCAAATCGACCCCTGATCCGCGAGCTTCTGCGCCTCTGCGTCGGGTCTCTTTCGTCGCCAGACAGGCCCCTGCAGGTACCTCCAATCCTCCTGCCCGCTTGCCAGCCAAGCCAGCTTGCGCCCACCCACCTGGGCTGGGCTCGAGGTCTCCACTGGTCCCCTGGCGGCCCCCCCTCCCCCCCTGGTGCCCCTGGACTCCACCAGCGCGGCGCCCCTGGCTCGTTCGGTCCCATCCATCCATCGTCCCGTCCCCGTTTTGGCGGCAGTCCATTGCTTCAGATCCCCATCCCCTGTCTCTTATACACATCTAGATGTGTATAAGAGACAGGCGCGGCGCCCCTGGCTCGTTCGGTCCCATCCATCCATCGTCCCGTCCCCGTTTTGGCGGCAGTCCATTGCTTCAGATCCCCATCCCTCTGCCGCCTCGTTTGTCTGTCTGGCGCATTCCCGACGCATGGCCTGGGCCCCCTCCTTCCGTGTCAGTGTCGCACCGTCGCCAATCTGCCCCGTCGCCGCTCAGCGCTGGCCCGCCTGGGCGGCGGCGTGGCCAGACAGACACGAGTACTCGCACAGTACAGAGCGTGCTCGTGTTCGTGGGCGCAGCCCTTTGCACTTTCCTGTCCACTGCGCGGTGTCACGTACCTGGCTCAAGTACGGAGCGTCAGTTCCTGCCCGGCGAGAGGTTCTCTGCTCTGAGAACAGGTCCGGCGTGATTCGAGGCAGGCACGAGCTACTAGGTACGTGCAGACCTTAAGTGCCTTGCTGGAGCACCCAAGGCAAAATAGGTATCGTGTCACGTATGCCGCCCTGTTTCGCGCATGGCATGGGGGTACTTTGACCTGGCCCCATCCTGCGCCGCACATGACGCGAGATGGGAAATACTAAGTTAGTAATATACGTAGAGTACGCTCCGCCGCGTCTGGTATTCGAGCGTGAGGAACTCGCTTGGACGAGCGTCCTCGTACAAAGTACTTCGCACAAGGTACGCTACCTTACAGTACGGCACAGTACTCGCAATACCCTTTCTGTACTCGTACGAGTGCTGGCCAGTTTAATTCGCCCAAGTCCCCCGCCTGTGCGTCGAGGCAAGAACAGGCAGGAGAGGCAGGAGCAGGAGCAGCACCTGCTGCAGCCATTCGAAGCCATTCGCAGCCATTTGCAGGCAAAACGCCCGTCAGGGCAGGCAGGTAGGACTCAGACCAGTCCAGCGCGGGACCAGACCAGCCAAGCCAGCCAGGGGCTCCTTCCTTCCCGCATCGTGGGCCTGTTGTTTCGTTCCTTTTGTTCACGCTTTTGCAACCGAAACCGTCCATACGACTGCTGGTACTATACGGCACTGTACTCGTAATATGTACGAGTGCTGTAACATGCTGCCTGCTTAGCCTCTGCTGCGCCGTCCCTTCCCCTTTCATCCGTTCCTCCAATTCCGACCCGCCCACCCTTATCCAAGCCTGCTTGTTTGAGGCGACGGCGCGCCACGAGGAGATATAGCAGGTCCCCCTGTCGGTCTGCTCTGCCACCTGCTCGCACGGTACAGTGCAGAGCACTCGCACCCGCACTATCCATCTGGCGTCCATTATCCCGACCATCCCTGCCTCACCTCGCCAGGCCTCGCCGTGCCTTGCCTTGCCTTACCTTTTCTTCACTTGCCTCGCTCGTCTCCCACGCGCCCGGACGGCCTCTTGCAACCAAGCAAGGAACTTTACGCCGTCACCTTACCTACGTTACTGGCCTCTGCGCCTGTCAATTGCAGCCTCCGAGGTCCTGGTACATCGCACTTGCATCGCGAACCCTGGGAACGAGGAACCGGGCGTCTTACGTACGTACGTACATCCACAGAGGACCTGGTCACCCCCGACATACGAGACTCACTACGTGGACGTGCTCGTGCGGGTACTGCTTGACCTGGGACGCACCCTCATACATAACCCCCCCCCCGTCCGAGCTGGCCCGCCGCTGCCCAATCCCACTTTACCTCCCTTCTTGAAATACCACCCGCTGCCCTCACGCCCCCGCCCTCGCCGACGTCCTTTCCTCCTCCCCTCCTCCAGCTGCCACGGACAAGGCGAGTCCAGCCCGACGTACGACTTCTCGACCCCCTTCCGGCACGCCGACAGCTCCCACCGGCCGAGATCCAACCCGTCGACACTCGATCAGCTCGTCGTGTGCCTGTCCGCCCTTAGCCTGCATTGCGACACGCTTGCCGCGCATTGGCTCTGCACCAACCTGCCTTGCCGAATAGGTACAGCGCCCAGAGCCGCCAACGCCAACCGCCAACAGCACCTCAGCAGCACCACCTCCACCACAACGCTAGACGACCACCACCACCACCCACCACCGTTCGCTCACTACTGGAACGCTGCGCCGCCGTGATTCGCCATCCGCCCTCGCCGAGCCGCCACCCCTGTGCTCGCGCCGCGCTCCAGCCTGTCTCTGGTGTGCTGCAGGTGCCTGCCCGTGTGCTCGTACGCAGTCCCCGCTACATTCTGGACCTTCGACGGGCGCTTGCGCTCTGTGCCGTTGCTGCCTCGAACTGTCGCTCGCTCCCCAGTATTACCGACCTTCGGGCACCGCGCGCCCACCACCGTCGCTGACCATTGAAACTCGTCTGTCAGCACGAACCGACTCTGGCACACCCCCCAACCTCGACACCTCACGACTCGTACACCGCACCTGATATCCTCCAACACGACCCGAGCCACCTGGCACCAGGCTTGCGCTGCCGGTCTCGCATCCATCCACCACGGGCAGTTCAGCGCTCTCCTTTTCCCCCATCCGACACTCTTTCCCTCAAGACACGACGTTTTCCTTCGCCTGGCGCAAATCTGCTCTCGCGTGCGAGGATTGAGGAAGGGAGCTAGCCCGACTACGCGCCGGTCTGCAAGCACCTCGAACGACTCGACCGCCTACCCACGCACTCGGACGCCGAGAGACTGCAGCTCGTTCGCGCGGACAGCCTCAGGTTTTGTCTCGTGTACATCGGTTTATCAAGGATTGAGCCGCCAGCCTCAACATGAGTGCTGCAATCGCCATGGCCCCGTCTCCGGCTCCCCATGAGAGACAGTCCTTTTCGTCCGAAGGACCCTCGACAACCACACCCGCAGCCGCCCCCCCGGCCGCCGGTCAGGCGCCGTCATCTGCACAGTGGACAACGGGGACAGCTTCACTCTCCACGAGTGCCAGCGCCAGCGTTGCGCCCAGAAGACCGGGAGGGAGCAGTAGCCCAAAGGGCGCCGGCCCTTCTGCCCTTTCCAAGTCGTCTCCTCCAGGATCGTAAGCGCGACTCCCATACCTTGCTGCCTTCTGTTGTATTCCAATGCGATGTGATGCTGACCGCGGTTGACTGATCCCCAGGTCTCGACTTGATACGAGAGGACCGAAGATTGTTGTCAAGAAAGAGCCCGGCTCTCCAACACTGTCAAATACCAGGCCCAGGCCGCGTCGATTGGATCTTTCCAAAAACACCGTCAACACATCCAACAACCCCGCTTCGGCCGTACCTCTCTCGGCTCGCGATGGGCTGGGCATTCAGGAGGTTGGAATCGCCTGTCTGTCGCCAGGGTTTGTCACGCAAGACCCGGTAATGAAGGAACAGCTTCAGCGTAGCATGTCCGTCCGGGAACAGCAGCGCCACATTATTGAGGCGCGTCTACAGCAGCAGTCGGCCAAGGGGGATGGACCCTCGGACAAGGACAAGGAGCCTTCGTCTCAATTTGCGGCCAAGACGCCCGGGATGTCGCGCAGGAACAAGGCACCTCCTGGCCTTTCCATTGTTGCTCCGTCCCACGAGCAGTTCGCGAACGAGCGGGTGATTCAGTCTGCACCTCTCGGCCATAGCTTCACTGGCCGTCAGCACCCAGCTCCCATGTCTCGGCACATCGCCAACCAGCCCTCAAACCTCTCGAGCACTTCACACATCCATCACGTCCCAGCAAACCAGACCAACAACAGGCTACCGCCTCTTAGCGACGTCTTTGGTCAGAGCGTTTCCGCCCACCCAGACAATGCCCCTCAGTCGCTTTATCCCGGCAATCCAAGGGCACCCCTGACTTCCCCCGGCAACCCTCAGCAACATCAGCAGATGCCGACCTCTGGACGACCGCGCGAGTTCAAGTCTGCCGAGGAGGCACAGCACGAGCTAGCTGGCGGGCGGCCTGAGCTGTTGCCCAAGATCGTACACTATGGTGGACACCAGCCTCCGACGCCCCCGTCGCCCGTTACAGGCAACAGGCAGGCCGACGGCAGCCGCAGCGCCAGCAAAAGACGGACACGAGCAGAGTATGAGGACGGCGGCAGCCCCCCTCTCGGATACGGTCCCGCCCCTACACGACGCGGGCCATTCGGCGAGGGGCGTGACAGTCCCGAGACCCAGCGGCAAAAGAAGGACGAATTTCTCCGCCTCTGCTCGAGGGCGTGGGACTTGTTTCACACTTGATTTCTCGGCGCACGGGCGAGGATGCCTCTTGCGAGCTATGCGATACGGCGATATCATGATATGTGTTGAACGGTCAATACTCTTCGGCGATACATCAGCTACAATGCATTGGTGCAGAGCTGCCAGACGTCATCGGCGGCATGCCATATTCTTGTTTAATACTTATTCACGGACATTTTGCGCACCCGGGGTGCCAAATTAACTACCGCTCTGGTTTCTTGGAACGAGTGTGTACGCGGGGGAGCCGAGCGGAGGCTGGTTCCGCAGGGAGTTGGTCAATGAAGGCGGCGACGGCGGCGGCGCAATCGCGAGACGGGCATGCCTTGCTGCGCCTGGTGTTGACGAGGAGGCTATGCCTCGCGCGGCATCATCATGTTGCGGCACTTCTGCTGTGCCCCGTTTCCTTCTCGGACGGGCCACCGGATACAGGGCTACTCGGCTTAGTCCGTCGACTTGCATGAGGTCTTTTGGTTGGGGTTTTGGCAGTGATGGATGTCACACTATCTCATGGACGACGGGAACACTATATACATGTTTGATCCTGGGCATGGGACATGACAAAGGAAGCGGAAGGTAGTTGCGCGGTCATCGATATTTCTCCCGGAGTTGGTCGCCGATAGTTGAATTGGAAATGAACCCATGCTACTTCGTACCCATATTCTGCCGATGTAGCGGGCGACGAGGCCATGACGCGAGACCTCCATCAGCATGACGAGAGGCTGTTTCGTGTGCCGTGCTCCTTGGCCGCAGGACATCTACACCGAGTGGCAACTCTACAGGGTCCCAAGTCATAGTGCCTTGGAGGCAGGCCCATGAATGGGTACATGCGAGAACTGCATCATCTCCAAATTCATTGGGTGGAGACGGCGAGTGTGGACAGATCAGAAGGGTAGTCAATTCCTATATCGCAGATCCGAGTTGCCCCCTGAAGGGCTCATCATCAATAGCCTGAGCGACACGCCAGTCGTGGACGACCCGTTGCTGCCAATAGAGACTAGATGACCCTTCTGTCCAGTCCTGACGTATCCAAGCCAGCCGGTGCCAGCGGGCTTCCTCCACGTACAGCAAAAGCCTCCCCATCTGCGCGCAAGTTCAAGATTGCGAAGGGTAGAGACGGGTAGCCCGCCCGCTGCGTCGTGGTACACCGCCGTTGCGGTCTTGTCATATCCACTCCCGCCGTGTGCGGTGCCTAGGCTTCTCGCTCTCTATTCCACCAAGGAAGCCTGCGTCTCGGAAAGGTGCATGACGCGCGCTTGCTGCCGGTAGAGTGCAGCCATATGAGCCTCCAACCAAACAACCCCCGTCCAGAACGCCGGTGCTCGATAATAGCGTGGAAGAAGCGGTAAAAGTGATGTGAAGGTGTATACTTGCAAAGAGAAGCGAAAGAAAATGATATCGCGGGTGATTGTCGTAGAGTCATTACGTCGGTCCGAAGGCACACACTCTCGCTGTGTGGCGCGTGCCGCGGTTCCGGGGTCCCCATCTCCGCCAAGTGGGAGGCAAAGAGTCGTCTGCAAGATGCGCGGCGCATCCTTGATTCACGCCCGCAGTCAGATTGCAGTCCGCCATGCCAGCACAGCATGACGGACGGTATGTTAGAGACCCTCCTCGCCGGCCTTGCAAAGTTTTATTTCCCGGACCCATTCGGACTTGAGGACTTGAGCGGCGGTGAGACGGCGCGTCGGGTGCGGGTCTAGGACGGAGTAGATGACGTTGCGGCATCGGGCCTGAGGGAGCTGTGTTAGCCTGAGCAATACAGAAAACGACGAGGGCGATACAAACGTACCCGATGCAGAGACTCAATGGGGCCGTAGCCTTCTTCATCGCGGCGGCCCTCGAGATAACGAGCATAGAACTCGTCGTCGTCCTTCTTGGCGACTCGCCAGAGATGGCGGCCGGTCCGCATCGCCATGTAGATGACGCCGCAGGCCCAGACGTCGACGGCGCGGGCATCGAATTCCTTGTCGGTGTATTCTTCAGGGGAGATGTAGGGGGCGGAGCCGCACAGGCCAGAGACCATGTGGGCATCAGTCTCCCAGGCCATGCGGAAGCACTCGCCGTTACCAAAGTCGGTAATCTTGAGCGCACCGCGAGTGGTCAGGAGGAGGTTCTCGGGCTTCAAGTCTCGGTGGGCGACACCCATCTCGTGGAGGTACTCGACACCACGCATCATCTGCTTGAAGAAGCAGTCGGCCTCCTGGACCTCCAGCTTGCCGCTTGAGAGGACGAGGGTGTAGAGATCGCCGCCGGCGCAAAACTCCATGACCTCGCAATAGTCGCCCTTGGAATCCTTGAGGAGGTCGAGGGTGTGAATGACGTTGGGGTGGCGTAGCGACGAAGAGATACAAAACTCGGCGGTGAGTCGCTTGCTGTACTTCTTTTCCGTCTCCTCGGGGCGGCGGCGGAACTCCTTGACGGCAAACAGCTTCTCGCCGCTGCCACCGAGCTTCTTGTGGGAGATGCGGACGATGCCGAAGGCGCCCCGACCGACAACTTCCTGGCATTTGCCATACTTCTCGACCAGTGTCGACGATGCGTTGGGGCCGCCCTTCTTATCTGAGGCGGCATCATCCTTCTCCTGGCGCAGGGAGTCGACCCAGTTGGAGACGAGAGACAAGTCGTTGTCGGGAGCAGCCTCCTGCTTCTTGCCGAGCAAGCTACGCCACATGTCGGATAGCTTTTCCTGCCGGCGACTTGACTTGAGGTGGTGCTCATGGCCGCCTGGAGCGTCGGGGTTGGGCACGAAACGCTGGCCCAGTTCCTTGCCGGGAATGGCCTTGGACTGATTCGGCGGCGGTTTGTCGCTGGCTCTGTCCGATGTTGATTCCTTGCGTGGCGTGGGCGAGGCGCTCCCGTTCAAAGAAGAGCCACGGGGGCGAGAGCTCTGGCTGTCGCCGTTGCTGCCACCATTCCTGGGAACCTCCTTGCTCGAGAACATGCGAGTCAGGCGCTCCTTGACCGACGACTTCTCCGTCGTCGGTCGCAGGTGCGACGAGTCGCTGCCGGCGACGGAGGGAGCGTCTGAATGGAGGCCCGCATCGTTGGGCAAGAGGCCAGGAGATTTTTTGCTATCGTGGCTCTTAATCGAGGAGGGCTTCGAACTCGGCGCCGAACTCGGTTTTGAATCGGGGGCGGCGGCGGGCATTTTGACAGGGTTGGCCGCGGCGGGACGTGCAGGACTGACGTAGTGTGGCATGCGTCGGTTCGGGGGTCCTGTTGGGGCGGCTGGTTGTCGCGCGGGCGCGGACGCGGGCGCAGCGAAGGCAATCGGCGTCGCGAGATGGACTCGATCACCTCCCGTTGGGTCTTGCCGTTGCGGAGGGGACGCAGAAGACCCAGGCGAGGCGGGAGAGGCGATCAGAATTATGTGTGAATGAGGAAGAGATTGAGAAAGCGCAGCGGGGTCGATGTGTCGACGCTGGGCGCAGGCAGGCGAATAAAGAGGAATCGAGTCCTGGGTGCGGCCGCTGACGTCGACAGCCAGCAGGGACTGTCCGAGTGCGGTGGATGACAAACCAACAGGACCGTCACGGTGGGCGGCGCTGGATGGTGCTCGACAGTTGTCGGGGCTCAAGCCGACTGGTGATCTCGAGTGTGTGCGTGAGTGCAACTGCTACGTACGACAAAGGCAGCAGCTGGGAAGGAATTCGCCCGGCGCAGGGCCGCGACGGTGGCGGGCGTCGAGTGACGACGAAGGACGTGTGTAGCCGTGGGAGCGGAGCGGCGGTTGCGTGTCTGGGAGAGAGCGCCGGAGGGGTGCGGGCGGGAAACGATGTGGAATTGATCGCCGGGCGCTGCGAGCGGCGAAACGAGGCGACAGGGATGGATGGGCCGTTGGCGACTCGGCGTTCGGGTGCAGGCGCAGGCGCACGACCGCAGGTGCGTAGGCTGGGGATCCGTGGGATCTGAGACCTGGGCGCGGGAGGGACTGCAGAGGTGGTGCAGCGCTGGCTCGGCTCTGGCTCGCACTGGCTGTGGGTGGAAGGCGAGGGACGGGACGACGTCGAGGTGTGGGAGGGAGCTGGCGAGGTCGGGAGAGGACGGCCAGCGACGAGCGCGGCGCTTGGAGGGGGGCAGGCACAGCGGCCCTGCGGAGCGATGTTTGGCTCCTTGTACCGACAAAAGCGTGGGCGGGTCGTGGACCGGGGTGGGCGGCTTTGTCGTCGACGAGGGCTTTTTTTATTGCTGGGTGCTCGTGCAGTCTCAGCCCTGCCGCAGCCACGCGCAGACCAGGAAAGGCGAGCAGAAAAATAGGTAGCCGGCGAGGACGACGCGCAGGTGGAGACTGCAAGTGGTGAGAGGCGGCCAAGAAGAAGGAGGAGGAGGAGGAGGAGGAGCAGGAGGAGGAGAGGGAGGTGGTGAGGTGAGGAGAGGAGGCGAGGAAGAAGAGCCGATGCGTGTTATTAGAGAAGGAGGGCGAGAAGAGGCAGGGACGGAGGGACGGACGGGGGGGTGTGGTGGGAGGAGAGACGGCGGCGGGCAGGACAGGACAGGACAGGACAGGACAGGACAGGACAGGCCAGGACAGGGTGGGCGAGGGAATAAATGAATGAGTCCACGGAAGGGAAAAAGGGACTAAAAGGAAGTTTGTTCGCAGGCAAACTCACACGCACACGCACACACACGCTGGCACGGGCTGCGGCGCTGAAGCAGGGCAGGTGCGGCGGGCAAGCAGGGCAGGGCAGGGCAGGTGCGGCGGCCTAGCGACTGCCGTAAAGTAGCCCAGAAAGGTCTCGGGCTGGTACGAAGTACGAAGAAGGGGCGCCAACGTATAGGTAATAGTCCCGTGCAGCGCGGCGCTGCCAGCGAGTGGTTTGCTGGGGTACTATAGTGGCAGCAGAAGCGGTAACAGTACCAACTGCCTCAAGTATCTGCCCGTATCCCAAGGGTCTTTTCTTACTTTTCATTCGTACCTACCCCCTGACCACAGCAAGCAACATGTACTCAGGACAGAGGACGGGCACAGCGAGCGGTGCGGTGAGGCAAGGCGAGACCTGGCAGGCAAGGCGAGGCGAGGCGCTGACAGACCGTACGTACCTGGTGCTACCGTCTCCCCCGAGTCGGGTCTTCGGAGGGTGCGTCGACGCACGAGAGTCCGAAATGGCAGCAGCGGTATTACCTTACTCGCTGGCACGGCGCTGCTGTACCGTGCTGTGCGCCACAGGCGAGCCCGGCTGCAGGCACGGTAGGGTCTCGGGTGGAACAGGACGGCGGCGGCGGGCGCGGGTACCTTGACTGTTCTTCGTACCTCCCTCCCGTCTTTCCTTTCATGACGGACGGAGCGGTGGAGGACCGGCCCTCGTTTGCCTTGTGCGAGTACCAGTACATCATGAGGTACTCGTACGGACTGCCCCGATGCGGGCCACTGAAGAACATGCTACTCGGCATGGTGCTGCGCAGCGATGCGGTGCGCTGCTGATGCTGCTGCGGCGATGCTGCGGGTTTATTTCATCACAGGCAGTGCTGATCCCACGAAGCGACCCCGACGACTACGACGACGACGTGACTTGACTGACGGACTTGACTTGACTGACGGGACGCCGCGGCGTTGGTACGCGCCACGCCTCTTCGGGGCGAGTACACCGACGGGGCCGCCCGTTGCTGCGGTACGGGCGGCCCAGCGGCCGGCTGCACGTCACGCCCAGGTACAGGGCTATTAGCTCGAGACCTTGGCGTTCATGTACGGAGCATGAGGCGCGGGCGGCGCGCCCACCCCAGGCCCTACCACCTCAGGTCTCCTCAGTGGGACCCCCATGCGTGCTCGCTGCATGGGTCCGGGTGCTGCCCCTCCGTCCACCACTCTCCACTGCCCTGCTGTTCCAGCGGGTGGGCGGGGCCCGGCGCGGCAAACCGGGTGCCTGTGGGCTCTCCACTGCTGGTGCTGCACAGCGCCCGTCCTGCACCGCAAATGGCCTGGACTGGGGCAGAGGCACCCAAGCAGCAGGCGGCGCGCTAGGGCAAATCACTCGTGGGGAGGAGCCCCCCCTCGCTGAGTTGGCACTGGGGGTCCCTCTCGGCCGGGCCTTTTTTTTTTCTTGCCCTCTCTCTCTGTATTGCGCCCGCCCGCCTGTCCCTCGGCTGTGCGTGGCCCCTCATTGTCATTTTGCATGAGGGATATCCTGCGTGTGCGCGCTCGCTCGCTCAATTTGCGGAGGGGACGAAACATGTGCGGGAGGGCAAGGAAAATTTACGGTACCATATTTGGTGCAGTGGCGACAAGATATTTTCAGAATCTCGTCAGTGATGCCCATAATAGAAAGGTGAGCACGCGACGGCGACGACGACGACGACGACGACGCGCAGGGGCGCTGTCGCACAGCAGCGCCCATCGCCACTTACACGGGATGCCCTGCGGCACCACCGGCAGCAGCACCTCTCAGTGAGTGAATGCACAGCACCTCGGCCGGACAGTGACTTGCACACCTCAGCACCTACACCCGGAGTGGATGCACTGCGACCCTGACTGACTTGACGCCTTGGCACCTGCGGCAGCTGGGAGCTGGGTGTCCGTCCCCCCCTTGCGGAATTGCCTGATGCCAAGGGCTTGTCGGTCCCCCCCGCGGCGACGGCGGGCTGCCGGAGCCAAGGCCTTGGCGAGCATCATCTTGTTACCTCATACCAAGAGAAAGAAAGCCCAAGCCCAAGCCCTTTTTGCTTCAAACACAAAGGCGAGAGAGAGAGGCTTGAACGCATGGCGGCACTTGACCGCTTATTACAGAATGGGGACACGCGGACGAGCCTATTCTGGCTCGCCGGGCGCCGGGGGTGACGTGACGCGGACGAGACGGACGAGCCTATTTTGGTACCGCGTTGCAGAATAAAAATTAGACCGCCAGGAGAAGAAAATAGCACGAGAAGGCGAGCCACGCGACAACGACGTCGACGACGGACCTCTGCCGACGGCGAGGTGGTGGTGGTGGTGGTGGTGGTGAGACCGGCCGGCGATGGCCTCGGCCCTGGCGTCGTTGGTGGTGTGGTGCGTTTCGGGTCGTGAGGTGGTGGCCCTCCTCCACCAGCCAGCCAGCCAAGCGGCTGACGGCGGTTGTTCGAGGTCAAAGTTGGTGCTTCTCATCCCGGCACGCACGCGTCAGGGCAAAACCCACCGTCACCTACATGTAATACCCGCAGCGGGTGCTGCTTCGAGCATCCACCTCACCTCATGGACGTCCCCGTTTATTACGCCGGGCTGCCTGCCTGTAAGCGGAGCCTGCCTCTTCCCCAACCATGCCCCCATCGAGCCATGGGCATCAGCTGAAAGGAGGCTGCCTGCCGTATGTACGTATACGTAGCTGCAAAGAGCCAGTTGACGTCGTCGTCATAAAGACCGGGACTGCCCATCACTCACCCCACGCTCTCCTACACCTCCTGTCCTGCACGGCGTCCGGATGTGCGTGCTGGCGCTCCTCGCGGAACGGCTGGGCGCGCATCCGGCAGCCCGGGCGCCGCGGGACCGCGTGAGGTTTTTTGCCCAAATATGCCGCCCTCATCACCTCACCTCGCCTCACCTCATCGCTTCTGCGCGCCGGATGATGGGGTGGAGGCGGGGCGGCCGGCGAGACATGGAAAAGGATGCGAGGGCGGTGACGAGCTGGCTCTGGCTCTGGGGGTCAGAGGAGAGTACGTTGGCGGCTGGGGACGGCTGTGTCGTGAGTTAGTCGCCATGAGCCGTAGCCGCAGCTGTAGCCATCCACGGGCCATGGGCCATATTACTTGACGGCCGGCCATGCTGCCATCATCAGCCCGCCCAGTGGCGCTACGGTCCGGGGCGCCGCCAGCTCTCTCGTCAGTTCGGATCTACGGTGTCGTGTCTACGCGCATACATCCGAGAAGCAGGCGATGCTTCGTACGGCGCTCGACACGGCGGCGGCAAGGCTGCGCCGGCAGGTCTCTTGTCCCGTGGCTGGCTGGACCAAGACGGACGGGCGAGGCATCCGGGGGGCAGGGGAGGAGGGCAGCGATAGTACCGCCGAGCCACGTGCGGCTCAGACACACGCACGAATGCATTGCCCCAGCCCAGCCGCTGTTGATATCGAAGGTACTGTACTTCTAAAGTACTACATAGTACAAGTACCGGGCTGTAGGAAGAGAGCCATCCAGCGCCGAGACACGGACGGAGAATTCGGGAGGGCGGACCCCATGCCATGCCATGCCATGCGACCGAGCGAGCGGATGATGAGACCGGATCCAGCAATAAATCTTCATCCCGCCGCGCCCGCGTTCGGGCCTCAGCCACGGGCGGCGGCGCGGGAGAGATTGCTTTGGGGCTGGCTGGCTGCTGCGCCTCGCCGGCAGATGAGGAAGCGCAGAAAGAGCCTCCATCCAGCGCGCTTCGTACTGTCATGTAGGTACCAGTCGCTGGAGAGTCCGAGATGCCGAGGCGTTTCGATAAGGTTGCTCCGTACAGCAGCAGCGGTGCTCCATCTCTCCGTCGTCACACGACGACGCCTGGCCAAAACGACGGCCAGAGGGGGATGGTAATTACTCGTACATTGGCGTCGAGTGCTGTGCTACGGCCAAGCCCCAGCAGTGTTGTTGGTTCAGTCAGTGGTTGCCTTTCCGCTGCCCAGACGGACCCTAAAACAATGTCCAGTTACCTAGGGGCCCCCTCCCTCTCCTCGGCAAGCGACCGACGTCATCCACCCAAAGCAGAACCCCCCCTGCGGACGACCCTCCCCACTCCCTCCCCCCCCGGCGGACAGGCGCCAAGGATTGTCTGGGGCCGCTGTTGCAGCAGTCTGGGGGGGGGGGGGGACCGCTGCTTGGCTTGGCAGGCATGCGGCGGACCAGGGGTGGGAGGAGGTGACCTAGGCCGGCCCCCAGCCCTGCCAGCCTGCTGCCATCTGCCACCTGCCACCTGCCCTGCCCTGCCCTGCCCTTTTCCTTCTGTTTCGCGTCAACGGACCGTGAGGGCGCATTTTGCAAGTGGCTCCCCCTCCTCAAACGTCAAAACGTGGGGTAGTGTGTGTGTGTGTGTCCTCTCGGCTCTCCTTTCCCTCGGGACAACACCTCCTTTACGAAAGGGGCCTGGAACACGCACAGCAACGACACCCTCGGAGGCACAGATGGGGTCCTAAGGTACCCTCAGCTGGCGGCGCTGTTCATTTTGGGTCCGCTCGGGTACCTTGGGTAGGTACACTGATGTCTCCATTGGGCTTCGTCTCCGTCGACGCGTTTCTCTCTGCTCTTGTTGTCTTTGATGAGACACTCAGCCGGGCATATTCTCAATCACCGCCCCCAGACGGCTCTGTATCTCCCGTCTGGTGCCTGAGCCAACGATGCTGCACTAACAACCCAAGTACAAGGTGCGTTGCAACAACATGTCGTCGTGGCCCCCCTCCATCGTGGTCGCAACCGCCGTCCCGCTTCCCCGGAGCCCCATCACCGACTCGCATCATCTGTCCGTCGTCCGTCATGCGCCATGCCGCAACGTCTGCCTCGCCTGTACCGCAATAGAGCCCCCCGTCTCGCCCTTCCTTCCCCGTTCGGCGCATGCGCGAGCGCCCCCAACCCCACATTCGACGTCGACGGCCGGCCACCTCGTCATGCCCATGTCCATGCTCATGCCCATGCCCATGTTCCGCCTGCTCCTCCTCCTCCTCCTCCCGCTACTCGTCCCCGCGCTCTGTCTCCGGTCTCCTTTCCTTCTTCTGCCTAACCGCGCCCGCACTCCCATGACAAGTATTATGTATGTAACTTGGTAAGGTAGCACCGTACATGTATCTGCAATTCTGCATATCCACCCGGAGGTGCGAGATGATGCGCCCGCGCCGCCCCGTCTACCAGGTTCGCGGCACGGGCGGCAGCCAAGGCGAGGTAAGTTTAAAAATGGTAAGACCATCTATCTACTGTCGGCGAGCCGCACGCACGCCTTGCCCGGTCTCCCGGGTCGAGACGACGACGACCACCACCACCCCCCGTGAATAGTAAGACCTGTCTCTTATACACATCTAGATGTGTATAAGAGACAGATCTACTGTCGGCGAGCCGCACGCACGCCTTGCCCGGTCTCCCGGGTCGAGACGACGACGACCACCACCACCCCCCGTGAATAGTAAGACGTTGGGCCGTGCCCCTCGCCGACCGCGGGGAGGACGTCACAACCCCCACGACCACCAACGTAGATCCTGCGCTTGTCCTCCTCAAATGCAGCGGAGAGGCCATCCAACTACAGTACCCCATGGGCAAGAGGGATTTAAGAAAACCAGCACTTTGATAGTACGTATGCCGCGTGCCCCCCTCGTGCCGGATCGCCTTCCGGCCCCGGCGCCTTCTTTTTTCTTCGTCAATGGTCCTTTCGTCAATGGCCGCGGCCGCCGACGACGACGTCGACGCATCATCGCTAGGAGCTGCATGTACGCATGTACGCCTGCACGCACGCACGCACGTACCTTAGTTGGACGTACGACTGCTGTCCGCACCGTCATGTCATGTCATGCACGCCGCCGTGCATGGAACGCCGTCGTCCTTTTGCTGGTCTCTCTCTCTCTCTCTCTCTCTCTCTCTCTCTCTCTCTCTCTCTCTCTCTCTCTCTCTCTCTCTCTCTCTGTCTCTCTCGGTCTCTGGCTGGCCTCGCCTCGCGCCCATCAGGCCGCCCCTTTGGTTCGCCATCTTCCCTTGCATGGCCGAGCTATCTACTCCTTGTACTACCTGTTTGAACGGTTGGCCAGCATCATCGTCGGCCTTCGCTCGTCGTCGCTCGTTTCTCACTGCTGCTGCTGCTGCAGACCGCTGCATCTGCAGCATGCTGGACTAAACCCATGCGCAGTATTCACCTCGACGTTTTTTGGTCGCCCGCCGCCCACTCCACTTACACGCCCGCGCCGCCGCGCATGTGGCATGGCCGATCCAATTCGCGCCGGGGCCCCCGCCATCAAT